ATATATATGTGTGTGTGTGTGTGTGTGTGTGTGTGTGTGCCCTAAATAAGATATTATTTTTAATTACAATATAAAAATCACCCTATATAAATAATTAAAATGTTTTTTTTATTTAAAATTGCCATTAATAATTTAAATATCACGTGTTTTGCTGATGTCTAATTCTAAGATAGCCTACTGGTACATTACGACAACACAAAGGCTATATGACATCGAAAAGCCATGAAACCCCCACCACGTGTTGGTAGAAAAGCTAACAGTGAGGCACTAAAAAAGGGGAACACGAAGCAGACAATCGTAGCGAGCCACCAAAAAAATCATAATACCTGTATTATAGGGCTACGTCAGACGGCGCAACATCTGGACCGCCCCCCCCCCCCCCCCCCAAGTTGTGGGAGACGTCACGTGATCTTCGTGTTCTCTGGGTATACGCTAGCAAATATCAGATTGGCTTGTCTCTCAAACCAGTTTTAATTAACAAAGATAAAAAAAAACACTTTAAATATCTATTACTAAATGCAGCTGAAAAGTATTATTTTTAAAAAAATGATACCTTAATGGTCGCCGTTTTTTTTTCTTTATATGACAGACAAGTTAGACCCTGTCGGCTAAATCAATGTTTTGCATGAACTCAACAATGAATTTGATACTTGTACATGATTCAACAATCAACATTAATAAGGTGGCACAAAGGGCCTGTTAAAAAGTGCATTTACAAAGAGAAATAATTCAAACAATTCAGAAGCGGTTACCGGCCTTGTTAGATCAACGAAAGCAGCCATTGGCCTAGTTAGCGTCTAGTTACGACACGCCGGACCAGACGGCCCTTGTGACAAGAGTGAATATCAGTAGCCGGGTCGCAGACGTGGGACATCGTGCCACGGCTGGCATGACTGCTGCACGACCTTTAGAGCGCCACCCACTTCCCTATTGGCACGGGCATTGTCAGTGAGCAATTTGTGGCATGTGCCGGCAATTTCCGGCACGGGGCTGTGCGCATGTCCAGCGTGGTCATCGAGTAAGTGGCTAGACGCGAATGCAGCCTGCCAGCGTGACGCAACACGGCGCTGCTCTCTCGGGGTTTCAGACTTAGCCGGTGCAAGCCAATCGCCGCACCGGTGCGGTACGGGGAAATTTTTGTGTCAAAGTGACGCAACAGTCAATGGGGCGTCACGCATCACGTGACGATGACATCCCAGGACAAGCGTGGGCGTTGTAGCGTGGTTAAGGGATAGCTCAGCACAAGCTCAGGCGGAATGGTTTTCTTCTCGCCCTGTGTGGACTTGTGCAGACATTTGAGATGCCGTGATTTTACATGTTGCAGTTTTTATGACACCAATAAACACACACAAAGTGGCACCCCGGGGAGCGAACTGAGCGTCTTCTTAAGGCAGAGACCGCAGACCAGATACACGCCGTTCCCCAGAAATTTAAAAAAAATTATATGCATAACTTTCTTAAAAATGCTGCAACAGTTACGACAAACCATATATTCAGTTTGTAATATTCTAAAACAGTTTAAATATTCTCTAGCATGGCTAAGTTACATAATTTTATGTTAAGATTTTTACAACTTGTTTTAGTTGTATTTTACATCAAAAGGGACGTCGTGGTCAGGTAGTAGAGCGTACGACGGTTCAGATCCTTGGCTTGAGTCTGTATGACATCACGACAAAGTCCGCCCAGCTCTGACAGACACCAAACTCAAGTCAAGAACCCAAAGGTGGTTGTGCATAGTGCTGACCACAATATCCCTTCAAAGCCGAGGTCATCTGCCCCAAGAATCGCTAGGTTCGAAAGGGTAACTTAACGTACATAAAAAATCCAGTTCACAAGAAGGATTACAGTATTTCAAACGATAAGAACAACCGGTTATAATATACCGCATCAAATCTAAATAGAAACTCCAAAAACGAATCTTTTTCTTTAACTGCTAATGCTTATATCCGGCAATTAAAATTCTTAGAAATTCTGTACATCATGTTAAACTGGAAAAAGATAATTTGGAAACAGCGAGAAACGGCGTTATCACATTTTAACTGATCACATTGTTCCGTCGTTATTGGGACCGGAAAATAAAACTGTACTGACCTAAAAACTAAAAGAGGTTCTCGAATCTGTCAAAATATCCCAACCACAACAACAGCATACCACTGGCCATCCCCACAACAACAGCATACCACTGGCCATCCCCACAACAACAGCATACCACTGGCCATCCCCACAACAACAGCATACCACTGGCCATCCCCACAACAACAGCATACCACTGGCCATCCCCACAACAACAGCATACCACTGGCCATCCCCACAACAACAGCATACCACTGGCCATCCCCACAACAACAGCATACCACTGGCCATCCCCACAACAACAGCATACCACTGGCCATCCCCACAACAACAGCATACCACTGGCCATCCCCACAACAACAGCATACCACTGGCCATCCCCACAACAACAGCATACCACTGGCCATCCCCACAACAACAGCATACCACTGGCCATCCCCACAACAACAGCATACCACTGGCCATCCCCACAACAACAGCATACCACTGGCCATCCCCACAACAACAGCATACCACTGGCCATCCCCACAACAACAGCATACCACTGGCCATCCCCACAACAACAGCATACCACTGGCCATCCCCACAACAACGGCATACCACTGGCCATCCCCACAACAACAGCATACCACTGGCCATCCCCACAACAACAGCATACCACTGGCCATCCCTACAGCGAAGAAAATTCCCTTGTTTTTCCACTTGGGCAAAACACCGGTCTGATTAGCTTTTGGCCGAACTGGTTACCCAAAGGGTTAAGGAGCTTAGGGTGTTAACAAGTGATTAACGTGTCACCACTGACCACTTCACGAACGTGTCAGGAAGGACAGTGGCCTTGTCAAGGGAGTTCATTCTAAAGGAATTTCCATTGTTACCTGTTGGTTAAAGGGACGATTTCCTGGCCTACATGCCACCAACATGTATTTTAATGAGCAGTAAATGATGCCAAAGATCATGAAAAAAATGTCTAAAAAGCATCTTTTTAATGTATTCAATATTTTTTTAAAAAATGTAATGGGGAAAAAATCCTACTACCCCATAATGTCTGAAAAAAATTCACGGGTGGCTGATTATGTGTAAGAGTTAATAAAGCATTTATTCACCTCCCACCCCATCCCGCCCTCTCTTCCAGCCCTTGATTCATAAAACTGAAAGCACTAACGCAACAGAGAGCACGCTTCCTTGGTTACCTAATCAGGTCACGAGGAATGGGTTACAAGAATTTTTTTCTCAAAACCATCCCGTGCCCCCCCCCCCCTCTTCCAACCCTTTCAGGACATTTTTTGTAAGTTACAATATACGTTAAAAACCATTAGGGGTCGTCCATAAATGACGTCACACTCGTAGGGGGAAGGGGGGTTCGTAATTTTGTGACGGTGTGTGATGAGGGGGGGGGGGGGGGTTCAGATGGTACGACGTCATACTGATAAAATTATAAAAAAGAAAACGAATTTTAGACGATATTTCGAGTTTTAGACAACTGTTTTAATAAATTGTAATAGGAATTTATTAAAATACACTATTATGACAGAGTTCAGACAAGATTTTAGAAAAATATTCTTGTTTAAAAAAAAATTCAACTGCAATTTTGAGGGGAGTTGTAGGTTGAGTTGTGACGTTATTTTAGGGGGGGGGGGGGGGGTCTGCATTTTTTTGACGACGTGTGACGGAGGGGAGGGGGGGGGGGTAAAAATCGTCAGAAAAAGCGTGACGTCATTTATGGATGACCCCTTAGCAAAACAAATGTAGACACACTTGTGTATAAATAACTATATTATACCTACAATATTATTTATATAGCCTACATGTATCTTAACCGAAAGCTATGTTAAAACTTAGGACTAAGGGTTCCATAAATTTCGTCACGCTATTTTTACACACCCAATATCTTCACACGTCGTCACGTAAAAATTCTGATCGTTCCTAAAATGACGTCACAAAATTGCATCAGAACCCTCCCCTAAGATAATTATTTTAAATTTCTTCAATGGAATACGTGTGGTTGGCAGTCCCGACTCCCAACATTTATAAGTGTAGGATCAGCAAAATCTCGAGTACGACTAATAAATAAGAACCTTTGATATGCATATTATCATGGACTAACCTGATCAGTCATTAGTGTCAACTACTGTGGAACATCTTTTTAATTAGAATCTATTATAGTACAAAGTAGTAATGTTATGGACGGGAATGGCTTTGATCCATACCAAAATCTTATTAAGTTTGTTTATTATGGGCGTCATGTTAAATCTAGAACTACACTGAAATGTGTTTTTGGTGGAAGTAAAGCAACAGGATGATGTCCTGATTTCTCTCTCCCCCCCCCCCCCCCCCTCCCTCTCCACGTTTTCTTGTTTTTATTTTTACAAGCTTATTAGTGTAGTTAATAGATTTCACAATCACAAACGCTTATACGATTATAAATAGGCCTTTTGTTTACTTACGCTTCTACTATTATAGTTCTAAATAGGTTTATTATGTTCTTATCCTTAGTAATTTAATAGCTTGTTATTAGAAAGATTTTATAGACAAATTCTTATTTGTTCATAAAACGAATCAAGTATCTTAATTAATAATTAGCTAGATCTACTAACCTTAGCTATAAGTAGTAAAACAATGTGTATCAAGCAAGTGGTCAAATTGCTTTAACAAATCATAGAGTATGAATAATAGTCTACACACTGTCTATATTAAACTTATTATAAACTATGAAACTTCATTACATCCTATTGTATTAGCTTTAATTTTATGTTTGTTTAATAAACGGCAATTCACTGATCTAAGGCTATTTTTAATCAATAATGTATACCGTCGCGACCTAGACCTTAACTGGCCAGCGAGAACCAGAGCTAGCAGTGGCAACGAACGCCAACGCTAAGTTAGATCTAAATAAAAAAAAATTATAAATGTTGAAAGGTTGCACTTACAATATTTGCAGCTTGGCAATCCTTGAGCACGTGTAGCGGTGGAAAAGTAGGAACATGTAAACTGACTCGACAGACTCTCCCTTACGATTTGTAGTAAAGTTATCGAAGGATGCCTTCCCCCACCCGGCTTGATGAAGAATGCCGGGTCATGTGTAGTTTACACACTCAGTAAAGGAATCTAGGCCAGTCCATTGATTTTTTAAAGGGGAGGCAACTGCTATATTCCCACGGCTGGCTTGGGAGGCGGAGCTTCATCGCGTGGCGCCCCACTGTGAGGCGAAATTGGCGTGATGTCACAGCTGCCGCTCTCCGTAACAGTTTTCCAATTTTTTCGTTGACTTGGGCTATTACCATCTCTAAGCTTTCAATAAAGACTAGATTATATGTTTATTTAGATCTATCTACTAATTGAAAATGCTAAATATAATAATTATCCATACATTTTAGCCAATTTTAATATCAGTAGATAGATAGAGTCTAGGGCCTATAAAATCAAATTATAAAAAGGTAGTTTTTATTTTATGATGATACTAATTAATGATAGTCCTGTAGATTCTATATTATCTTGAGTTTAGGTCTAAACAAAATATTTTGTCTTCAAATAAATTAGATAATTCAATACAAGTACTTAAAATTATTTTTTTAGATTATATATTAGACCCTATTACCAATTCATTATTAGTCTAAAAGTGGTGGTTTCTTTTTAAATAGTTGAGACATAATTCACCTTGCCTAAATGAGTAAATAGCTTACATTTAATATTTAAATACCTTCAGGCTTTAAAGAAGATAACTAAAAATTAACAAGCCCTGAAATTACTACATTCAACCATTCTTTAGTTTGCTTTTGTAATTAAACTTTTTTGAAGCTTGTGATATGATACCGTTTTATTTACTTTGAAAAAAAAAACTACACTGATTTGTCTGTCTTTTCGTGGAGTCCTATATTTTCCCAATTCCATCCACACATACAAAGCCTACACATTCACTTATACATACCATAGAGAATACCATTACTTGTAGGCCAATGTAAATTGATACACTGGAGTCTATAGTTACACATAAAGGCAGACAGAACCGAACAGTTTAAAACACATTGAGAATTGCCGGATTTTGACATGTTTGCCGACCTAATAATGACTGTTTGAACTCACATCTATGCGTGTAAGCATCCGATGCGCCCGTTTGTTTTTACTAAAAATAGAAAAAAGGAAGGTCTTTTAATATTTTTGGGTTGCAAGTTCTGGTGAATGTTATTTTAAATAAAGCTTCGGGGAAAATTACTACTAACCATGCTTTCGTTCGAAGATGAACGCATGTTTGAGGGGAAAAGAAATGTGTAAATAACATGTGAATTTCATTTACTTAGTGTTGCTAATATCATAATCACCGTTTTTAAGTGGGGTTTAAAAAAAACAAATACTTTATAAAATCAAATAAAATTAAGTTTAATTATTCACTTTACAGTTTGGGGACATCTTATGTGAGCTATTTTATTAGCATAAATTATCCCAATGCGGGTTTTTAGTTCAGACCCTGTCGAGAATAGCCCCCTCCTCTATCCTCCCCCTCTTTTACATGGCTGCAAAGCGGAACATTTCTAAAACTGCATTACAAGTAGAACACAAAAACTATTACTATCATATGTATGGGCGGGCCCCATGAATCCTTGGACAAGGTGTTATTATGCCATATATGATCCTCTTTGCTACGCCGCTGTGAATTAGGCCATATCGATAGCCAATACTCTACATCCCACGAGCAACGCGCGGGATCTCACGACAATCGTATAATGCTAGACTATACTTAAAACTGTATTAAAGACGCCCGTACAATTTACCAGCTGTCGACACTTCTGAGTTTCCCTGTCAAGGGCGGTAAGAAAGAAAAAGTTAGCAACAACTGGTTATCTTACCTCTAACAAAGCAACATCCCTCAAGTAGTTTTGCGGACTAAATCTACAATAAATTTAGACTTAAAATAGATCTAAATTCTAGTTGATAGAAAAAAAAAATTGAAAATTTAATACGAGTTTTGTTCGTGTTTTTTTTAAACTTTAGGAAAAGTTGTTATTTTTAAAATGTAGCTTTGTTGTAAATGTGATGAATTTGTTATTGTTGTAGCTTAGATTAGTTCCCTTTAATGTATTTTAAATATTATATTGTTCTTTAAATCGTCAAATTGAAATGGTGTTTATTTTTTCTCAAATACGAAAAAAAAAATTAGACGTATTTTTAAAAATTAATTTGACTAACTTAATAAACTTGTATAAACAGACGAGCTTCAACGAAATTTCGAAAGAGTTCAACTTTATTTTGTAAAGAATACATACAAATTAATTACAATATGTTAGCTTACATTACAGATAAAAACAGGCCGACGAAAGAAAATTCATTATATTGCAAAAAGAAATTGATGAACACACGTTAAAAGTGGGTTCAGGAAAAGGTAAATGACCATCAAAGTACTCACCTGAAACAGCATTTATGGGTTGAAATCATGTAGCAGTCATCAACAAGTGTGCACGAGAAAACATACAACTGTATATTTACTACACGGCAGCTGTGGATATTCCCTTACGAACGAATAGACGTGTTTCCCTCACTTTTAGTTCGTTTCAAACCAGCGATCCCACCAATTTTTAAACGAGCAGGCGCACCGCACCGCGCGTGCTTTTGTCACTCAAGCACGTGCGACTGTGATCTGGGCGCGCACTTGGAAGGAGGGAGAGGAGGGGGGAGGGGGGTAAAACATCGAATTAGATTTTTTCCCCGTTGAAATTTTTTTTTTTTTAAATCATACAAGATGTATTTCATTGTTGCAGTAAACTTTGAAAAAAATGTTTTGTAACGTTAATTTTTTAATTAAAAATCAGATATTGATATTTGCACGCGTTTTATTTTTTAAAGGTTTTTAAAAATAATTTCTTGTGCAACTTTAGCAAAGAAAACATTCAAAGGTAATTTGAGTTTGGCGCTCAATTTTCTCTCTCTTTTTTTTTTTTGTTTGGTATAGGCCTAATCTTAAAAAGTAACATTTTATGGCATGTAATAGTCGACAACTATCAAAAACATCAAATTTAACTCATTTAATTCTCTATAAGAAAAGGGGAATTGGTTGAAAAAAATAGCTGAATCTACAAATGAAGCTTACAATTACTAGGCAATAAAGCTAGATTTAAACGACAACAATTTATTAATGATAACGGCATAGCATACTAAAACTATACCTCCATTTTCACGTTCGAAAACATTTTTTTTCACTTTCAGATTTCTCTCTCTGAATTATTAAAAAAAAAATTATATAGATCTATCTGTAGCCGTGAACCAGTAGAATAGTTGAATATATAAGCGAATCTGTTGGCGGTAAATTCACGGTCCACGGCGCACGCTCCGCCTCACACCGAGGCTAGCAGCGGCAACAAAGTGAGTGAAAATGAGAAGGTCTATCGATTTTTAGCCACGCGCGCTAAATTTCTCCGGGAGCCATCTGCTCTTCTATTGTCCTGTCTAGACAATGGAGGGAGTAGGGGAGGGAAGGGACAGTGTTACATACTAGAACGAAATATATTACTACTGTTAGAGGGAGGGGTGATAGGTATAGGCCAACTTCTAAACGATGGTGTGTGAATCAAGAAATCCAGCATTTCCAACTATTAATGCACACTTTTAACTCATTTTGAATGTGTAACAAACTTAAATATAATAAAATATCTTTATCTTTTTAGCCGCACTATGTTGTGTAAAAAAAAAATAATAAAAAATACTTTTTTTGGGAAATTATTAGTTGGGAATAAATTGCCTTACATATGTATTATATTTTTTAAAATTATTATTTTTAAATTACCTCCCATGTTTTTAAATATTAAGAATATTTTTTTTCAATATTCCAATAGTTGTTTTTTTTTTCCTCTCAATTAGGGCTATTTGGGAGCTGGGTTAATATTGTGATTAAAGCAGCAATAGATATTAGCAAAAACGAATGTGTCCTACCAACATTTAAAAATGTGTCAGTGGAGACACATTTTTGTTGGTTTTAATAACTGTCAACGTTAGAGGTTTTCAAATTTTAATGGAGGGGTAATATTTTCTCTAAATAAGTTAATTAATTATTGTAGACTACTGCTTTTTTCAATGATAATGCCGGTTTAATTATTTTTATGTAAAAATATTATTTATTTAAAAAGTAAAAGTAGGTTTTCGTCTCTCCTGTTGAAAAAAAAAACTGTAGGCCCAGGTAACTGTTTATAGTATTGTTTTTTTTTTTTCTTTTGAAAATATAGGTCACCAGCTATGTGAAGTCAGTTTTTCTTCGCGCGGCAGGCAACTGGGTATTAAGGTTGGCTTGCTGTTAATAGAATATGTGTAACTGTATTGTTATTTCTAATATTTAGGAATAATAATCACTTCATACTATGAAATTTACTCGTCTAGTTACAATGCTCACAACGCCGAAAACACCTGCACCTAACGCACATCAAAGCAGCTAAATTCGATAATGCACGCGCAGGTGACAACAAGCCGACCAATCGTCGCCCAGGTTTCAACGCGTGTGATCCCCACGCTTGGGAGGGATAATCTTATTGGTTAATGGAAAGAAGAACGCGACGCTTATTAGCGGTACTACTCGTGATCTTCACAAACATCAAAGGGACAACGAGTCTGAGTGAAGAATGGACAAAATTTGCGGGTTAACGGAATTTTAGCTCACACATGGCGTAAATTATTACAAAAAAAGTGGTTGTATTACAAAACTTTGAATGTATGCTATGTGAGCTTCGCGAAAGTTTGTAAATAATGCATGAACTATCCAACCGTACAGCAGTTTAGTTCATTAGGTCAGGGTCGGGCATGAACTTTCAACCCGGAACAGGACTAAAAAAAAAAAGAAAAGGATCGCGTATTATTTCATGAAATGCTATACGAAGCGACTGACAATGACATATCTGTTTACAATTATTTCACTCTAAATTATCTTTCAAAATCTGCTTTTTAAAGTGAGTTTAGATGTTTTACTTTAAAATGTCCTTAAATATTTGGAAAAATTGCAAAATAGCACAACTTATACGCTGCGATATAACTAGATCTATAAATTTATATATAGGCGCCTATATATATATATATATATATATATATATATATATATATATATATATATATATATATATATATATATCAGTGGCGTAGCGAGGTCGGGTGTCACCCGGTACGGGACTTAATGGTGTCACCCCCCCCCCCCAGAGGCGTTGCGACCCTTCCCGGGGACAAACTTTCAAGTTTTCGATTTGCATCCCCCTCAAACTTTCGATTTGCACCCCCACCCCCCTCAAGTTTTCGATTTGCACCCCCCCCCCCCCTCAAACATTCGATTTGCACCCCCCTCAAGTTTTTCTCTATATATTTTGCTATTTTTTGCCTTGGTGTCACCCCCCTAAATGGTGTCACCCGGTGCGGTCCGCACCCCCGCCCCCCCCCCCTCGCTACGCCCCTGATATATATATATATATATATATATATATATATATATATATATGTGTGTGTGTATATATATATATAAATATATGTGTGTATATATATATATATATATATATATATATATATATATATATATATATATATATATATATATATATATAATTATTATTATTACTTTCAGAAATCTAATTTGATTAACCAATACAAACGAGTTTAAAAATATTTGCCCTAAGTAATGGATGCCGATTTTTTTACACAATCGAAACGTTTAACTACTTATTAGACTTCCGCCACTTTTGTAAATTCAGGTTAAAGTGCATTAACAATTTAAGATACGCTCCGTTTTTAGAAAGCGTTGATTATAGTTGGCGGATGCAGAGGGTGTAGGGGTACCCCCCGAATTACAGTTGTCTCAAATTACAGCTATTGAGTATTTCTAAAAATTGTCAATCTATGTTTTGTAGATCTAGTCCCTACATGTAAATAAAGATTAACGAATGTCCGTTTTTTTTTTTAAATTGTCTGACTGTTATGCATTACCTATTACTGCTACTTGCCATAAAACGCACACGAAGAATACTGGGGCGCGTGATTGTCTACACTGTCATCCAGACGCCCCAATGTGTGCTATATTGAAACCTTGAATAGCTAATAATTAACGTCAGTCAGTAACACCCGCAACACCAATTGCACTATATAGGCCTTCGTAGACCTATATATATATATATATATATATATATATATATATATATATATATATATATATATATATATATATATATATGCGTGGGGGTGACACCATGAGGTGCCGCAATGGTTGACACCCGACCTAGCTACGCCAGAGGCGTAGCGACCCTTTGCGGCGCCCTAGGGAGCAAAGTTTCAATTTGCATCCCCCCTCTCGAACTTTCAATTTGCACCTCCCTCAAACTTTCAATTTGTACCCCCCCCCCCCCACCTCAAACTATAATGCAAAAAATGCAGCTAAAATGGCATTTTAATTTGTTTTTCAAACCCATTTGGCGCTCCTAAGATCGGCGCCCAGGGACATATGTACCCCCCGCACCCCCCTCGCTACGCCTCTGAGCTACGCCACTGTCTGTCTGCGTATAACCGTCTATAGAGTTTCTTTCATGCAAGTCACTTCCCCTTTCCCCCCCCCCCCCCCCCCCAACACACACAGGAAGTGCAAATACTGCCACATAATAGTATAGGCTAGCTGGTAAAAGGTGTCTTGTTACTGTGTAATAGTGTGTAATATTATTATTATACACGAAGGAAATTTTTATTTCCCGGGGGGTGCAGTGTCTCGCCTGAAAGAAACTCTGATCGCCAATATCTATAAAATATAGATTTTAATACAATAATAATATTTCAAAAAGTTAAACCACCGCCATAACAAGTTGATGTAAAAGTCACATCACTTAAATTTAAAGGGGCAACCAAATCTTTCATTTTATGGTCACCAAATGCCGGTAACTTTATTGGCATACGGTATCTCAGACGGTAGCGTCTGCTGTCAATATTATTGCAGTGGTTGTTTCTAGATTTTCGTCCAAGCCGTTGTTATTGTTTTGCCTATTCTAGAATTTAGATTGCCCTTGTATTTTTCAAAAGTAATTAGAGTCTACTTCATACAATTTTTCTCTTGTACATAGATTTAGTTACTAGATCTAGATCTAGATCTAGACTAGATTCTACTCTAGATCTAGATCTAGATCTAGAATCTAGATTTTAGTTATTTTTTTAAATTTTAGTAGATCTAGATCTCATCTAGATTTCTAGACCTGACCTAGCCTAGAATCTAGATATCTAGATTAGATCTAGATTTCTAGATCTTTGTAGAGTGTTACTGCTTTAGTGCTTACTTTACACGAACTTTACTTTAGCTAGATCTACTAGAATCTAGATCTAGATCTAGCCAGAGTAGAGTACTGAGTAGTCTAGCTCTAGACTCAAGCACTCTAGCTTAGTAAATAAATTAATTAGTAAATCTAAATAATATTAATTATTAGGCCTAATTAGTAGGCCTAATGGCTAATACTAGACTAATGGTAATCTATTGTTTTGGGTACGTAAAATCGCCAGCGACTAGTAATGTACGAAAAAGTTACCTCATTGTCAAGGCTTTAATAGAAGTATATATATATATTTTGATATATTTGTGTCAAATATTATAGATAAATGAATAAATAACCTAGATCTAGATCTAAATCAATAGCTAAATAAATATATCAATATAGGCAAGAAATTAACTTTTAACAGCAGTGTTTGCGAGCAGGATTTCCTATATAAACAGCAGCCATTTGTAAAATAGAGTTGCCTTCCCCTGATCTCGCGCTATAAGTTAACAAAGAAAGAACTTAAACAAGATGGCTGCTATAGTAAATGAGCATGGTTGCATCTGTTGGAAACATCGCTAGTATTCATTTATTATTGAAAAGTTTTAATTCAATTGTTTGAAAACAGGTACATAAATGAAACAAGGAAACATTTGTGTATTTCTCAAAACACAAATCCTCCTCAAAATGTGAAATAATTATTAAAATTTAAGGAGTCACCTGTTTTTCACATTACTAGTCGCGGGCGATTTTACGTAGATCTACCCAAAACGATAGATTACTTTTTTTTTTTAGAAATACAGAAAAAACCTGTAGATAGAAGAGTTGCTAAAACTAGATCTAGCTCTAGATCTAGTTTTGTTAGTAAAATAAGACGATTAGATTTACCAAAGTCAAAAGTTAAAAGTAGTAAGAAGAACTAGAACGATGTTTAGTAGCTGCAATAATTAGCACATACACTTAAAATAATTAGAAATACAAAATAATTAACAAAACAGTATTTAAAATGCAACTAAAATCAATCCTTGCACATTTTTAAACATTATGGATTAAAAATAATAAGGCGGCAAATATATAATGGTTTACAGTATTTCCTGTGGTTTCCGGAACAGCTCAACAGACTACGCCATAGATTTACTGTTTAGTTTTACTGCTGTACAGTTCCGGAATAATAACCGACGCTATATCGTGATTTTACCGTATTTACTATAAGGCAAAGTATAATGTCAACTAGGCAGTCGCCTAGAGCACTATCCTTATGGGCATGGGGATGCAAAAGTTTGTAATCCCTATTACTATATTAAACTAGATTCCATAGTCTAATTTATATAAACTAAAGAAGGGGTAATATTTAAAGTATATAAAGTTTCCTTGTTCATATTCTTTTTGAACGACTTGCCAAATACGATCATACAATACTCATAACTTTGGGTGGGTAAAAATAAGATATTTTAATAAACTCGATTATTTCAGAACTGAAATGAGTTTGAACCTGTTTTTTTGTCTCATGATGGATGAACTGCAATGGAATTGTTTAAATGGTTTAATTCAAAATTTAGTGAGACAGTCTACTAATACATAAATAAAATTATAGTCATATATATATATATATAGTCATATATATATATATATATATATATATATATAGTCATATATATATATATATATATATATATATATATATATATATATATATATATATATATATATATATATATATATATATATATATAATTATATGGGGGCCTAAAAAATTGCAGGGCTGGGGGGAGGTTAAGAAGTTTTGTCTATGACGCTAAATAGCTTGGCACTGGGTCACTGTAATATAATTCATAATGTAAAAAAAAACTACTAGACTTGACTTTTGACTTAGTCCTCTTTGTTCCTTATGGAACATAGGGCCTCCACCATATCCTTCCATTTCTTACGATCCCCGGCTATTAATTTTGCCATCTCCCAAGACGTCCCTGTTGGCTTCATTTCTTCAAGAAGACTCCGCCTCCAGGTCTGTCCTCTCTTCCGCTTTCCCTGGGGGTTCCACTCAAGCGCTTGGCATGTAACATTTGGTTGAGCCTTTCGCAGTATGTGACCCACCCAGCGCCACTTCCTCCTTCTTATTTGCACACCCATAAACTCCTGCCTAGCTTTCCTCCATAATTCTATATTCGGCACTTTGTCCTGCCATCTCAGTTTCAATATCTAAGGCATCTGTTCATGAAGGTCTGTATCTTTGCTGTGCTTGCTTTGGAGACTCTGTCTCTGCTGCATACAGCAGAACTGCCTTGATATTTGAGTCAAATATCCAAATTTTTGTGGTAATGGAGATGGCAGAACTTTTCCATATGGGTCGCAGAACTGTGAAAGCGCTGCGGGCTCTATTAATTCTAGCACGTATGCCCTCCTCTGTGCCTCCCGTTTTGCTGATCTTGCTGCCAAGGTAGACAAACTCTTCCATGATGGGGGCAGGGGCGCTAAAATGGGTTTTAAAAACAAATAAAAATGTCATTTAAGCTGCATTTATGCAGTTTGAGGGGGGTGCAAATAAAAAATTTGCTCCCGAGGGGGGCGCCAAATTGAAAGTTTGTCCCCGGGCGCCGGGAAGGTTCGCTACGCCTCTGTTTACCCGTCTTCCATCTATTGTCACTGGGGCCTACTGGTTATTGTTAATTCTCATCACTTCTGTCTTTTCTTTGTTGATCTTGAGACCTATGCGCTAAAAAACTACTTAGTTGATTAATAATTAGTAGGCCCCTACTTACTGTAATAGTTAATGATTAATAAAGTACATTTTAAGTACATTTACATTTTATAGGCTACCACTTAAGTTAAGGGTGGCATAGCTTGAATGCTACATTGCTGGGCTAGGATCTAATTAAATAGATTCTAATAGTAATATATCAAATAATAATATACATGTTCCCAAACTGTATCAAGTGGCAACCCCCTTTTATAAAAGTCACGTGACCCACAACCCCTATATGCATTAGATTTTTAGATGAAAATTAAATGCTGGCTTAACCCTATTAATAATAAAGAACTAACAAAAAACCTGCAACCTGCTCATGATAAAAAGATCTTACAAAAACTAAATTGACAGATATGCCATACATAATCATAATATCACCTGGAATCTCAAGGCTATTCCAAAAAAAGGCCATGTTTTATGACTTGGGGGATGACACAGTAAAGATATGTTTAACACTGAAGAAAATTTGAGGAGCTCTCAAAATTGAGTTGTCTGTGTCTTAGTGGGACAGCAAGCTCGCCAATTGTAAATTTTTAAAATATATTTTGTTATTCTACTAAAGTGAAATAGTAACATAAGATTCCAATGAAATGGTTAGAATTAATTACTAATTACTTTTTTCTTCTGTTTTTTTTAGTGGGAAAGTACCAGTTAATCTATTTCAATGTTAGAGGTAAGTTTTATATTTCACTGCTCACAAAATACTAATTTATCGGTATGGTAGATTAAGCCTAGCTGATTATTTTTGTTTGATTTTTAATATTTAGGTCGTGGTGAAGCTATTAGGCTGTTGTTCAGTGACAACGGAATTGCATATGAGGAAATAAATTGTGGAGAGAATTGGCAGAAAGACTGGAAGCACCAGATGGTATTACAATATATTTGTAGTGTTTGTGTCAGTATTTTAGTTAAATTAAAAAGCTTTAATGCTAAGTGCATTTCAGATCAACAGGTCTTGAGCTCTGCAGCAGGTGGAGTCTGCACTATGTCCAGCCTCCATAACATTCCCCAACTATTATTTAGTATCCATATACAATAGGAAGCCTCTTAGGCAAGCCAAACTAAATCGGCTATCTGAAGAAGCCTCCAAAGTTGGACTAAAAATCAATAAAAATAAAACAGAGGTCATCAGAATCAATAACAGCCAGGACCTGCCCATACAGCTAAATGGAGAAGATTTACGTGAAACAAACACATTCACATATCTGGGAAGCGTGATCAGTAAGGACGGGGGAGCAGACGAAGACATAAAATGTCGTATCAACAAGGCTAGATGTGCATTCAACTCACTGCGCCCGATGTGGAGGTCCACGGCCCTGTCGCTCCGGAGCAAAATTGGGATTTTCAACTCAAATGTCAAAGCAGTGCTGCTCTATGGCTCGGAGACTTGAAGGATCACGAAGACAAATACTGATAAGCAGAAATACAGACATTCGTAAACAAATGCTTGCGCCATATACTTAAAATAAGATGGCCAAACAAAATATCAAACAAAGACCTATGGCGAACTTTAAAGCAACAGCCAATAGAGACAGATGTCAAGGCCCGAAAATGGGGATGGATCGGACACACATTAAGAAAGGAAAAAGAAAACATCGCAAGGCATGCTTTAGACTGGAATCCCCAGGGAAAAAGGGTGGGCCGGCCAAGGAAGACATGGAGAAAAACGGTTGAAGAAGAGGCTAAAGCAGCTGGGCACACATGGGCACAGATAAAGGGGGCAGCCCAAAACCGAGTCTGATGGAGATGTGTGGTTGCAGCCCTTTGCTCCCCAGGGGCCACAAAGGAATGATGATGATAATGAGATACATTTAGGAAAAAAATCGAGCACTTGACCAAGCCATCCTGCCGATCAAAACTCTATCAATCATCCTAACACTATATGCTCGTGTATTCTGTGCTATATAACAGTTTAGATACAAATATATTTAGTGGTTCCCCTTCAGACCTAATGATCCCTAAGGCAGATGAAGTATAGTTAATATGTTCTTTGATCTTGGCATATGAAAGGATGGTGTGGTCAACATTATGCTCAGTGCTGCCTTACTTTCCCTAATGCATGTCTAGTACCCATTAGAGCTAAGCTGACTCAGGGATGTTCTATGGGCTCAGATCAGGGACCCATACTCAATACTTCAGTTTATCAGTCATATGCTCTAGCATATGACCACACTACCTCATACAAAAATATATTGGTATGGCTAATCAGTGAAGCAATAAATAAATATAAATACTATAACAGTGAAAGTATATTTCTTGTAATCAGTCAGTTCTAGTTATATATTGCAATTGTAAAAAAAAAAAATTGAGCATTGCTAAATTTTTATTTTTTTTCCTTCTAATTTTTCAAGCAATTTGGGCAAGTCCCAGCTTTGAGGGATAATGATTTACAGCTTGTGCAGACAAATGCTATTCTACGACATCTAGGAAGAAAGCATGGTAAGTTTAACATTTTGCTGAGAAATATTAAAAAGCCTTTAGAAAACTTTATAAGATTACATACTGTATTGAGAAGCAAACAAGAGTTTCTGTTAAAAGTTGTCACTAAATGCAGTGTATTTTTCTTTTATCAATAACTGCATTTATTTTGGAGGGATGAGGTAAACATTTAATATAATGTGTACTTGTTTACTTTTTGTTTGTGGCTCAAACAATTATTAAGTGTCTAAATCGCTTTGTACAGCCTTGTTAGTCCCATACTTTATGAACCTGTAAGTGATCTTTTCATAATACACAGAATTACTTTTTTTACTGTTAAACTTAAAACTTCTACAATTTTTTTTCAGGACTGTATGGTAGCAATGATGAAGAGGCTTCCTTGATTGATATGATCAATGATGGTATTGAAGATCTTAGAGTAAAATACCTGACTATGATCTACAAAAATTATGTATGCCTTCTGTTAATTTGTCTGGATTTTAACTTTTATTTATATGAATATAATGTATCTAATTATATTTTGCTTTTTTTAAATATAATAATTTTACTCATAATACTCCTGTAAATTTATTTCCATACCCTATTGCAGGAAAATGGAAAGGATGCATACATTGCTGACTTGCCTGCACAACTTCAGCCATTTGAAGTATGATTAAAATAGTGTACTTTTTAACTACATTAAAACCCATTGGCATTTGAATGTTTGTGACTTTGTATTTTAAGACCCTAGTTGTGTAGGGGAAAATATACATATTAAAATGAAAATGAGTATCCAATTTGTTAATTTTTTTTAAAATATAAAAAGTATTGAAGTAATGGTTTAACCAATATGTAATTTCAGTTGATTTACATAATTAAGTCTTTTTAAATTTCAGAAATTATTAGCTGAAAATGGAGCTGATAAATCTGGTTTTTGTGTTGGAAGCAAGGTAATTTATCAAGTTTTTAAAATTGCTTTGGTATTTTCAGTTTTTAACAAAGTATATAATACACCCGATTGTTTTGATGTTTTCATTAACAGAGGTCCTTTGCTGATTACAATCTTTTCGACCTTCTGGACATAAATCTAGTACTACACCCAAAATGTCTTGAAGAATTCCCAGTCCTCGACTCATATTACAAGCTTTTATTGGCTCGTCCTGGCATTGGTGATCATCGTGAATCTGAATCTTTTAAGCAAATGCCAATCAATGGAAATGGAAAACAGTAATGCAGGCTTTTTAACCTGAAAATTACAATATGAGTGGTTTAGTTTTTTCTTTTAGAAGCAACTAATTATAAATTGTTCTATTTTTATTTTGAGGTAAATAATTTTTCTTGTCAATGCTCACATTCATTGCAGCTAATATATTATATTTACATTTGTTTTTTTTTCCATTATATTTATACTTTGTTCAGTGTTAATTGTTAGGATTATGAGTAATAATTATTAATTTATCTTATAATTAAGTTTTAGTTCATATAATAGTCAACTTTCAACCACTATTTTAAGAAATTACAACCATAATCAAAAGGTGCATAAGGATGTATTTGAGTTTATTGCAAACTGATCCAAATCTGTGAAATTTATTATTTGCTTAATAATGTGACATTTTAAAGTGATTACATTTCTGTTGTACCAAAATAACATTCTCAATTTCTACTTTTTACAAACAAGTGTTAAGATGAAGAATGTTATGGTTTTTTGCATTTTAAATTTATATATTCCCACAGAAATTGTTTAAACTTTCTGTAACATTGTTACAAGATTATTTGGATATTGTGTTCCTTTTTAGTATTTCTGAATCAAATGTTCTGTTTCACATTGTTACAATTAGATAGGCCTACCTATTCAGTGACATAGTTTTCTATGCAAATAGTTGGTCTTTATTTTATTGATTTTTAAACTTCTTATGTCTATAATTTTAAAATTTATTAATAAAGGAGAGTTAGCCTTCTGCTTGGTTATTTTTTTACTTATACTCTTATACTTGTAAGTAGAGCTAGTTATCTTGGATTAGGCCTGAAGTTGACTAAAATCACACAGAAAATAATGAAGAAAACTGGATTTTACTCAATCAAAAAAGCTTTCTTTATTACATTTACATACTTTTGGATTTCATTAGCATGTTTTAATTATTTTATAAATAAGCGTGAACTAAAAATTAAAAGTTGAACAAACTAAAACATACTTTGACCAAATAAATTATTTTCATGCACAGTTTTAGCTGGTTAGTTTACACAAAAGAATTAAAGTTCTTCAAATTAGACCAAGTAGTTTCAAAGCACTTCCTTCTCTCCAATGAACTTGGTAAAAGCTTTGTATGCTTTTTTCCTTCTTTCTTCTGCCTGATTTTCTCTCAGTCTGAGCTGCAAAAAACAAATTGCATATGCTTGCTCGATTATTTACTATAATATTTTAAAGTATAAATAAATAGATCTTTTTAGTACATATTCTATTTGTAATAATTAAATTGACTAAAAACTATATTAGAATATATATATGTTTTCCCAGGTGTAAAATGCATTAGGTATGCAAATTAATGCTGATCAAACAGTATAAGAAGCTTAAAATTGAACTTGAGCCTTTCAAATAAGCCTTTTCAAAGACTGACACAAGGTTGTCAGGACTAACAAAAGGTTCCCTACAACTACAAGCAACAGTGACAATGCCAAGCAAAAGAAATGATGGGAAGATATGGACGAGTTTAACACCAGAAAAGACACTGAGATAGTAATGATGGAGATACATAGCTGCATGTGACCAAACATTTTGATAAATACAGTTTGTTAAACAATTTCTAGAATTTAAAAAAAAATCACATAAAATACTTATCTGAGATAAGAATACCTGTTATAAGAATTGCCAAAACAATGTCTAAGTAATAAGCATTTACATGTATATAGTGTCACATATACATAGTGATTTTGAGCAGCAGATTTATCATACATGCATAATATATGTACCAATCTAAAGGTTCGTTAGGTTTATGTAGTGTAAAATAATCTATTTTACTAATAGCACCATCTATGATAAAACAATTTTTTAATCTAAACAGTTTTCATGCAGCCAGGTGTAGGTCTGCATTCTATAACAAAAACATACCTCTTCAACCCTTGAAGCAATCCAATTACTTTGGTTTTCTATCAGGCAAGTTATACCACAGACAAACAAGAATACAAGTACACCAACTGAAACTCCAATACAAAGCTGCATGTCCTTAGCTTTTTAAGAAAAATACAGATAGTTTAGAGATGTATTTTATATAAAGCAGTGTCTGTGTGTGTGTCTATCTTGTATGCATTACTACACCTTTCATCCTATCGCCATGAAACTTTGGGAAGTTATCTGAGAAAAAAAAATTCGCAGGGGTGGCGAATGCGCTTGACACCATTCGTCCGATTGTCATGAAACTTTGGGGAGTTGATAAGAACACATGGAGGGGGGGAGGTTTCTGCAATAAAAATCTGTTTTAATTTCGCAAGGGCGGCGCCCCAGCAAACTGCGGTTTGGCTCCCCGGGTTATCCTGTGAGCGCTACGGCACCTACGTTCGTTTTAAACAGTGGGATAGATAGGGTATTAGAGTCGTTCACTAAATATAATCAAACGCAATCCGCTGAGCACTATGGCACCTACGTTCGTTTGAAGAAGCACCCTATAATATTGACACGGTGGCACACAACATACGATGATTAAACCGAGCCAGGTGCCGTAGGCTACTCGGCGAACCTGCTGTAGTGTAATTGTGGACTCCCGGGAGCGCCCCTCTACGTCCCTGACACCAGGGCGGTCGCCGAAGTGTGTTCTACCTCACAATTACGGTGAGTGGTTAACGTACACACAAGGTTTTCACGCAACACAACATTTGGGCATGCTGCGGCAACACGCGAGGACGGGCACGCTAGTATATAATTATATAGGCCTATATATTGGCATATCCAGTAAGCACACTGGTTTTTTTATCTCCAACGCTCAGATAATAAATTAATTAATGCATTGGCGTTACTAGGTCGGGTATTATCTGGTGCGGTAACTGAAGGTGTTACCCCAATATTTTCGTATTGGTTTCTCTCCCTTGCGCTCCCGCATTGTAATGCTACTGAACGAATGACTGAATAATAGACCTATTATACACGTACTCAAATCAAGCTCTTCACATCCACTCTCATCACAGTCCACAGTACAACCACAGTCGTTGTATCCATCACACCGGTAGGACATGCTCAGACATTCTTTGTTCCGACATTCGAATTCGTATGATCTGCAATCTAAATTTTTAAAAATGTGTGTTAAAAAAACAGAATAAACATCAATCTTTAAATCGCTTGCAAATCTAATTTTGGTGAGGACAACTCACGGGGTTATGAACTAGAAAAAAAAAGCTTGTTATTATGAAGGTGACACATTTTTATACTTTTTTTATACCCCTAGCCATATATCAATAGGCTCTAGTTCCATTTGTTATGAATTAGACAAACTCTCTTAGATAAAAAAAACTCTTCATTTAGCTAAACCTTATTGAAACACATGTTGGAAATCATGTATCAAACATGTGACCACGTACCTGTATGGATGGAAGAGGTGTTGTCGTGACCCGACGTAATGCCAGCTGAAGTATAATACGTTGAAATGTCAAGTACACTGATGTTAGTTTTTGGTTTTACTATACTTTAGAACAAGGCTATAAATTATAGACTTATAATGTAGAAAACGCTACAAATAATTAAACTATACGGAGAAAACTTAATCCAAAATCTGCCTGCTATTAGATGTGAAGCAGATCTAGGGGTTGGGTGAAAACCAGTGTCTCTTCCAGACTTTTTACTCCGGGGGGGGGGGGGGGGGGCACTTGAAATTTTCGGGAGGGGGGGCGGTAGACTTTTTTCGGGGGGGGGGGGGGGGCGGACACTGTTAAAAGTATATTTTTTTTCGGGGAGGGGGCTTAAACCCCCCCCCCCCCCCCCGAAGAGATGCCTGGAGGAAACTCTGGTGAAAACCAAGGGAAGCTAGAACATGCGTTAACAGAATATTGAGAAGCCTATTTTGTCAGTTGTGTTGCTACATAATTGATACGTATAGGACTATATTGCTTTACAAACTGCTTAAAAACCATATCGTATAACCACAGCGCAAAGTCACGTTTTCACGTGTAGCCAAAGTCTTTGTTATGTGGAAAAATTATATAACATTTTAAACAGAGAACAAGGATGGCAAGAAAGTCAATTGCAATAAAAAAAATTTATTAGAGATAGAGAATGGATTGAATGTAGAGTGTTAATAGATCGCGAGAGACGGAGTGATATAGTGTGTGGACCTGTGACATTGGAGGTCTAATGACATTCACTGTGATTATTCATGAAGGAATAAAGTGTTGTAATCTGATTCACAGTTTTCATTCACAGCTACTGGTTGTTTTAGATTGTTTAAATAAATATTGATTAGCTACTAAAATACAAACTTATTCTATAAACTATCCCCTTATGTGTTACATGATAAAAAACGTGGCATTTAAAGAAAATGATTTATATAATAAATGCTGCCCTATCTAAATATTTTCCATTTATTTTTTCTGACACCAGACAATAATAATTGTGGGAACAGTAAAATTAACAATTACTGCTTACTATCAATTGCCTGAAAAAATCCGACAAATTTAGTATTTGTGTTGTTGACGCCGTCCGTTACCAGCTTCACCCACAGCAGATGTGCTTTGGATCGCACATGCTCGTTGATGTGGGTATCACAGAAACGTTTGATCACCGGTGAATACCTGGAGCCATCTCGAATCTAGAGAATCATATTCAATATTTACACAGTATCTCAATGCCTAGAATCTATTGTGGTGGATCCTACACAATATTATGTAACAATTTTACTTGCCTCAATGTAATCTGAACAAATATCAGAGAATCGTTCGCCCTGGAACGTTACATTAAATGTAATGTAGTAATATTTGGGTGCTTCTATCAGCCAGATGCACTTGAGGTATGACAGGGCTGCATTGGGATACCCGGGGTTGTAGATGTACCCTGGCGTGTCTTCGTTGATCTTGTAGTAATCCCCACATTCTTGGGAAAAAGGGATTTTTAAAATATTTTATGCCATGGTAATTTGTCAACAGTACCCTGGTAGCTTTCATCTACAGCACCCTAATTACTCTTGTCTACAGCACCCTAGCAGCTTTTGTCTACAGCACCCTAGCAGCTTTTGTTTACAGCACCCTAATTACTTTTGTCTACAGCACCCTAATTACTCTTGTCTACAGCACCCTAATTACTCTTGTCTACAGCACCCTAGCAGCTTTTGTCTACAGCACCCTCGCAGCTTTTGTTTAGGGCCTACAGCACCCTAGTAGCTATTGTCTAAAGCACCCTGGTAGCTTTCATCTACAGCACCGTGGTAGTTGTTGTCTACAGTACCCTGGTCGCTTTCATCTATAGCACCCTAATTACTCTTGTCTACTGCACCCTAATTACTCTTGTCTACTGCACCCTAATTACTCTTGTTTACAGCACCGTGGTAGCTTTAATCTACAGCACCCTAATTACTCTTGTCTACAGCACCCTAATTACTCATGTCTACAGCACCCTAATTACTCATATCTACTGCACCCTAATTACTCTTGTCTACTGCACCCTAATTACTCTTGTCTACAGCACCCTAATTACTCTTGTCTACTGCACCCTAATTACTCTTGTCTACAGCACCCTAATTACTCTTGTCTACAGCACCCTAGTTACTCATGTCTACAGCACCCTTATTACTCTTGTCTACAGCACCCTAGCAGCTTTTGTCTACAGCACCCTAGCAGCTTTTGTTTATAGCCTACAGTTCCCTAGTAGCTATTGTCTAAAGCACCCTGGTAGCTTTCATCTACAGCACCGTGGTAGTTGTTGTTTACAGTACCCTGGTCGCTTTCATCTATAGCACCCTAATTACTCTTGTCTACTGCACCCTAATTACTCTTGTCTACTGCACCCTAATTACTTTTGTTTACAGCACCGTGGTAGCTTTAATCTACTGCACCCTAATTACTCATGTCTACTGCACCCTAATTACTCTTGTCTACAGCACCCTAATTACTCTTGTCTACTGCACCCTAATTACTCTTGTCTACAGCACCCTAATTACTCTTGTCTACAGCACCCTAATTACTCTTGTCTACAGCACCCAAATTACTCATTTCTACAGCACCCTAATTACTCATGTCTACTGCACCCTAATTACTCTTGTCTACAGCACCCTAATTACTCTTGTCTACAGCACCCTAGTTACTCTTGTCTACTGCACCCTAATTACTCTTGTTTACAGCACCGTGGTAACTTTAATCTACAGCACCCTAATTACTCTTGTCTACAGCACCATAATTACTCATGTCTACAGCACCCTAATTACTCATGTCTACTGCACCCTAATTACTCTTGTCTACAGCACCCTAATTACTCTTGTCTACAGCACCTAATTACTCTTGTCTACAGCACCCTAATTACTCTTGTCTACAGCACCCTAATTACTCTTGTCTACAGCACCTAATTACTCTTGTCTACTGCACCCTAATTACTCTTGTCTACAGCACCCTATTTACTCTTGTCTACAGCACCCTAGCAGCTTTTGTCTACAGCGTCCTAGTAACCCATGATCGCGACACCATGTGTGGCGCTTGTCATGTAAAGTCTACATACGGTAGCTCTTATCAAATGAAATGACCCGTCCATAAAAACAATACGCTGCAACTACAACGCATAATAGACTGTTAATTTTGGTTTCCCTTATGTGTTAGCATAAAACCATATAGACATAATTCAACTGTATAAAGACAACAGTCGCCAGACTGATCAACAATGTTACAAAGAGCAGGATTCACATACTCTAATCAAGCTTTTCTTAAAACTAATTTAAAAAAACAAACAACATTTGAAATTTAACTTTAACATAATGAGAATATGTAAACATTTTATTAAATCACCTGATTTTGTATTGTAACCTTTCGATTCCGTAAGATACAAAAATAATGCTGAAAAACAATGGGTAGAAAAGTTATAACCAATAGATTTACTCTAGATCTAGGTCTGTTAGGAAAAACGTATTGTTATAATTTTCAAGTTTCTACCGTCCTCACTGGTAAAATTAGGGTCAGGGTTTCTTTCACATATTTTATCCGGAATATACCCCCCCCCCCCCTTCTCACCCCAGAGAAAAGCCAGAAACTGAGAGGAACCGAATACGGTGAAGGACTCTGAGTAGCAATCGTAATAAAGGTTCAAACGGACTTAAAGTAAGCATTCCCTTAAAAACAATTTCTGGGTTGGCAGGGAGTGCATTTAGCTCTACAATTTAGATTCTAGCATCGATTAATTGTTAACAATATCTGCTGTTTTAAGATTCGCTGAGACAGGACTGTTGATATGGTTCACCCCCATTACCTATCTTAGTACTTAAACAGCTAAACATCGAAACGATTCCTTACACTATACAGTTTAGGTTTAGCCCCTTAAGCTTTCTATAAACCCTTTTTCTTGTCGAACAGAATTGCAATACACATAAGCCTAATAGTTAATGTAATTTGTCAAACGCCCTCAGTACAGTAGCGTAGCGAGGGGCGGGGGGGGGGACATATGTCCTCGGGCGCCGATAAATCGAAAGTTTGAGGGGGGGGGGGGGGTTGCAAATCGAAATCTTGAGGGGGGGTGTAAATCGAAAGTTTGAGGGGGGGGGGGGGGTTGGGTTGCAAATCAAAATATTGAGAGGGGGTGCAAATCGAAATTTTGAGGTGGGAGGGGGGGGGGGTGCAAATCAAAATCTTGAGGGGGGTGGGGGGTTGCAAATCGAAAAGTTTGTCCCCGGGCGCCGGGAAGGGTCGCTACGCCTCTGCCTCAGTAAGCCTAAGCTACTTCAATAGTAATACAGTGTGTTGTCTACTCACTCTACTTTTGACCGTTGAATAATCTAAAGTTTACGTTGATCTAGAATATTCTAGATCTAAATCTAAAATTGTTACCTAATAATAATAACATTTGAAAATGTACAATTTAGCCTTATCAGTAATTTGAGTAATAGACTAATAACGTGACTTATTAATGTAAAGTAAAATTGCATACTGTTTAGGCACAAAATGAGTAGTTTACAATGTATGGAATTGCATATGAATAGTAACATTTTTTTTTAATTCTTAAAATTAATCGTTTATCAAGCTACTTAAATATCATCATTACAAATCAGACTTTTAAACTGCGAAATTAACACCGCGATGCACTCTACAGTTGTGTTGGTCAATAAGTGCATTCAATACACGTGTCGCTCAGTGCAAAAATGATAGGAAGTAACAGTCTGCTTTGTTGTTCTTCTCTTCAGAAAGTAGGGCCTTTAGCTAAAATGTTCTTAAAGAAAATGTATAGATCTAAATGTAAATCAAAGCCGAAACAAATCCTAATATCAAAATCCTGTCGTATTTAAAGGGTAGTAGATATAATAGTTAATTTTTAAAAAAAGGTTTTCATAAATTATAAAACTCCAATTTTTAAAGCTTGGTGCGCAAATAACTTTTACATACAAAAGTCCTACATCTAAAGCTCACCTAGGGCCTTTCCTCAATTTTCAATTTAAAAAATTGCATTTTTTAATAGAAGAGTGTCTTTTTAGACGACCTATGATGCAGGGGCGGAACTACAGTGCCGCCAGACCCCGCAATGCGGGGGGGCCCACGACGTTTAGGGGCCCAATTCCGACCAAAAAAACAATAAATTTTCTTTTCATAAATAATATTTTTCGCGCACCTTGATAGTGGTTTTGTAAAAAAACAAACATGTCTAGAATAACAGTGATTGTTCTACAGCAGGGGTCTCCAAACTACGGCCCGCGGGCCGGATGCGGCCCGCGACGTCCTCTCATCCGGCCCGCGGAGTTCTTTTTGTCCACGGAAAAAACGTTTGTTGGTGATGGCTGAGGAACTTTGCTCAGAAAAATCACGACATGCCTGGGAGAAACTGGCCCCCGAACTGATATTTGATAGTTAATGCGGCCCTCGGACTGAAAAGTTTGGAGACCCCTGTTCTACAGTAACTAACACATACTATTGCGTAGAAAATTATAAAATCTACAAGAGCTGTACTTTGAAAGATAGGCAAACGTTCACACTACTTCCATGACTTACTGCCCTTCTTTAGAATAAGGGTGCCAAAAAGCTAATTTAAATAGTTTTGTACTATGTAAGTTAAAAAGCAATTTATTCTCTTAATTATTATTTAAATAGGGCATACTAAAGAACCATAAAGCTATTAAATTGAATGTATTCAAAACTAATAAAATAAATACAAAAAATCACAAAAAAATAAACAGAACGCGAGAAACCATTGCACAAATCAAGCTTACGTGTTTATATAAATTTGACCAGCTTGAAAACATTTATTTATTATCAATTTGCGGTAAACATAAAAATGTAATAAAAACACTTGTATTTTTTTTAATAAAAAAAAGAAAAAAAAAAGGAAAAAAAATAAAAACACTTGTAAATCAGGGTTATTGCGGGCCCGAAATTAGTTCGGACTTATTGTTGTCTGTTACGTTATCTCAGAGTGGTTATACATTGCAATGAAATATTAAAATACTCAGGTAATAGACTATTTAAAATTTAGAGAAGCACACTACTTATATATATATATATATATATATATATATATATATATATATATATATATATATATATATATATATATATATATATATATATATATATATATATATATATATATATATATATATATATATATATATATATATATATGGGGGGCCCAAAAAAATTTTTTGCGGGGGAGCATTTTTTTTCTAGTTCCGCCACTGCTATGATGATGGGGTGTAGGCTATTAGTATTAATTAAGGGTCGTACTCGAACGACGTCTGCATTTTTAAAAACGATTTTTACCATCATCCCTCGCGACCGCTGCACATAAATCCAGAACCCTTTTCTAAAATGATCTTAAACCTCACCCAACCCCCTCAAAACGATTTTTTTTTAAAACTGCGTTTTTTTTCTCTAAAATAATTAGATCTAGGACTATCAGAACTATCGGTTAGAATAGGGTAGGCCTATATGATCAACTTTTACTGCAATTTACAAAAATATATATATATAAATAAAAACGTTTACAACGCGAAAAACCAGCTACACCCAAAATGTTGTTCCCGACATTACAAACATTTTAAAATGCAATAAGAATCTGGCCACACTTCTGACACGTCCACGCCCTGAGTTTCTTCCAGGCATCATCGCCCCCCCCCCCCTCCCCGGAGAAAAAGTCGGGAAGAAACACTGTCCTCGCCACACTTCTCAGAACACCACTCCCGCTATGAGTGTGACGTTGTTTATGAAAAACAGGCACACAAAAAGCGTGGCTTCATAATGAAGACTTAATGGCAAGAATTCGAAAAGTATAACATAATATGGTTGTTAGTTAAATAATAGGCTATTACAGAATAAGTGTTCTAGATCTTATGATCTATGCTTTTTATATAGATCTAGATGTTTAAAAGCTAAAAAAAACTAAAAATAATGTAGTATCCTTGCCTAATTTAGGCAAAACTTTTTTTTAGAATGATCTATCTAGTCTAGATCATCTGTATCTAGATCTAGATCTAGATGTCTAAATCTAGACTACATTGTTTCGCCCCTTTTCATTAAAGATTTTTTTATATAGGCCTTATCATTGGTTCAACAAATATACTTTTATCAACTTCCTGCAAGTGACCTTCCTGTATCCGTCATGGCGAGCTCTCGTTGGACACAGTTGGTATGAACATAGATCTATATTTAAATAAAAACTAATTAAACTTTTATGCAGAATAATTTGTCATAAAGTTATTCTGACTGATAACTTACTGTCGTTAATGAAATATTAAACGGAGTTTTGCATGGGTGCCTAGAAAATACCCCCCCCCCCTTAGCCTTAACGGGCCTTAACCCCAGCTCGTAAGAAGCAAAGTATGAAAGTAAAGTAAAAGTAAGTAGGCATTTTTTTAGTAAATGAAAGAGACTAGATCTAGATCTACCAACACTCTAGACTAACCAAACCATCTCATAATATACTAAGTCTAAAGTCTAAGTAGACTAATCTAGTAGTAAATATAGCCTACTAAATAAGACTAAGTTCACAAGTTCTTAGTTCATAATAGTTAATAGTTCTACTCTAACAGTACACTTAAGTCGGTAATCTATCGTTTTGGGTACGTAAAATCGCCCGCGGCTATTAATGTACGAATACGTTACCTCATTGTCAAGGCTTTAATAGGAGTATATTGTCATATGTTTGTGTCAAATATTATAGATAAATGAATAATAAACCTAAATCAATGGCTAAATATAATAAATATATCGATATAGACCAGAAATTAACTTTAAACAGCAGTGTCTGAGAGCAAGATTTGCTATATAAACAGCAGCCATTTGTAAAATAGAGTGGCTTCCCCCTGAATCGCCCGGTAAAAGCTTATAAAAATAAAACTTAAACAAGATGGCTGCTATAGTAAATGTGAATGGTTGCGTCTGTTGGAAACATCGCTAGTCTTCATTTATTACGGAAAAGTTTTAATTCAATTGTCTAAAAACAGGTACATAAATGAAACAAGGAAACATTTTTGTATTTTTCAAAACATAAATCCTCCTCAAAATGTGAAATAATTATTAAAATGTAAGGAGTCACCTGTTTTTCACATTACTAGTTGCGGGCGATTTTACGTACCCAAAACGATAGATTACCCTTAAGTCTTAAGTACACTAGAGATTTTATTTAATAATTTAGATCTAGATTATCTAGGATTCTAGGGCCTACTTGAGTTAACTAATTAATAATAGCTGGTGAATAGATCAAGATTAGGGTTGTAGGTACTGGCCAGTTTGCAGTAAAAACTTGACCCGAAAACTCCCATTACCTCCTGATACCCGGTACACTAGACTTGGTTTTGCATACTAATAAGTTTTTAATTTATGGTAAATTAGGCCTAAATAGTTCAAAAGGTCATTTCCTAATGTTAATTAAAAAGTAGAGTGGTTTTCCCCTTGTTTTGAGTGTTTTGCTATCTCATCTGATTGCATGCTGATGCTGTTTCTGCTTTGGCTTTCCCCCTGTATTAAGGTTAGTTTCAAATACATTGGAATCTCAATGTTTAAAAGATTATTCTAGAGATGAAAATTTACCCGAGCAGACATATCTTTTGGATGTGGAAATATTTGTTTTTGCATATTTTGACTCCGACATTAGTTAGGCCTTTACTCATTTGAAAGTAGTTACTGTATGTAGGCTGCGTTGCCACCATTGTTTAATTTTTCAACACTAACAACAGCATTCTTATGTAACATGCAAACAAATCTCCTAATTGTTGTTTTAAAAATATTTTAATGAACCTATCTTTAATTTTTTCTGCCAAATATGTTTTTCCTAAAATTTAATTTTGTCAGACTAGACAAAAATCAGGCCTGTCTGTTTATACACTAGCTATGTGCCAACTGTAATTTTAAGTTTCCAAGTTTTACTTACCCTTATTTAAAGTTGTATGCAGAAAATTAGAAGTCATACACTCATAAAAACATTGATGACCATAATTTTGATATATTAGCAGAAAAAAAACAAAAACATAATACAGTAACTGTATTACCTTGCCATCTTTGTTATAAGAAAAATATATCTGGATTTTTGTTGAGATGACATCAATCTTAATTACCTAATTATTATCTAGCCAGTCTATTAATTTAAAATGTTCAAATATTTTAGGTACGCCAATTTAGCTCATCTACTTCAAGAGCTGGGAAACTTGTACAGGTATACCTAATTTAATATTTTATAAATGGTTTGTTAAAATAAAATGTGCATATTCCTATAAAATAATAGTCATATTTTAAAAATAAATATCCCATAGCTTTATTCTGGACATTTTCAAAAGTAAATGAAATGCCTACACACACCTCTGTGAACGATTTTGTAATGTTGTTTTTTTTTTTTTTTTAAACAAAAGAAAACTTATTTGCGTTTGGATTAACTATTGTACATGGATTTGGTGTTACATAGCCTTATTTTTTTTTCTATTTTAGTTAAAATTCTAGTGGCTTACATGTTTAGTTTAGGTATAGTAGAAAAGACAACTATTATTTTTAAACATTTACATTAACTTTTCTTTTCAAAATTTACAGGCACCAATTCAGCTTTATGGTGTTGAAGGACGATATGCAACTGCCCTCTACTCAGCAGCTACTAAGCAATCAAAACTTGAAGCTGTAGAGAAAGAGTTATCATCTCTTCAAACTGAGTTGCAAAAAAATTCCAAACTTTTAGAATTTCTTGCTGATCCTTCTCAGAAGAAAAATCAAAAGAGAGGTGGTTTATTTATGATTTTTCAAAGTGAAATATTGAAGTTTCCATAACTTAATAATGAATTTTGTGCATTTAAAAAAATTTAAATGGGTTGTAAAAAATACGTTTACGCCTAAAAAAATCTATTATCCTTATTAACCTGTAATCCATGAGCATATGAAGTGATAGTGTGGTCTGCACCATATTCAGATACCTTTACTTTCCCTTATGTGACTCGTGTCGCTATCAGAGCTATATAGACACAGGGTCAGACTCCAAGCCAATTAATTAGTAATACCCTTTTGAGCCTTATGGTCCATGGAGCCAGCGCCTAAAAGCTTATTCATTGAAACCCTTGAAATGTTCAGTTTAAGAATGGAGCACCTTTTTTTAAGAATAACAACCACATTTATACAAAATATGATTGTGGCTAATTAACAAGCAAATTTTAAAATATTCTTGTTTATAATGCAGAGACCATAGAAGGCTGGATGAAACAGAGAAGCTTTTCTGATTTAACCATGAATTTGTTTGGTAAGTTAAGATCAACATCAGTCTAATGTAATCATTATAAGCATTTACTTGGCTGGTTTCAGTCAAGATTCTCATTTAACAGATCCAAAGTTTAATCTGCATATGACTTGTCAACCATATGCTGAGTTATAAATTATTTACTATTTATTATTCAGTTTTTTAATAAATTTTTGTTCAGTTACCATGGCAGAAAATGGAAGAATGAACAAAACCCAACAAGTTCTTTCATCCTTCAGTAAACTTATGAGTGCACACAGGGGTGAAGTAACTTGCTCTGTTGTCACTGCAAAGGTACATTTGTACTTACTTCTGTAAATATAACTATTATTATATTATATGAAATTTTCAATAACTTAAATGTTTGTATAAAAAAAAAAAACTAAACATCTTTTTACATAAAAATAATCTTTTATTTAGCCTTTGGATGAGGAAAGTTCTAAGGAGTTAAAAGCTGCATTGCAGGGATTTTTGAAGAAGGGGCAGACTTTACAATTATTCACACAGGTAAAGCTATTAAATGATGGCTGATTTTTAAAGCACACAACTGAAACATCTATCATTGACATAGTGTTGTTCTTAATAAGTAAACACAGTTAAAAACATTTTTGTTCATTGTTTAGTACTTGTGAATGTAAATAAAATTATCAAGTTGAGAACAAGTTTTATCATGATTCTTAATTTTACTTAGTTAATTGTGAATAACCTTTATTAATAATTGTGGTTGCTAATTTCCCACTAAAAAAGCTTTCTCTTATTACATTGTAGAATGATTTTCAAAGGATATAAGAGATGTTATACATTTATTATTAATTTATTTATTCATATTACATTTTGTTTTTGCAGGTTGATCCATCCTTGATTGGAGGCATGACTGTCACAATTGGTGATAGGTTTGTGGATATGTCCATGAAATCTAGGATTAAAACTTACACCAATCTAATAAAGGCTGCTGTTTAAAATAATTTATAGACGTATTGTCATTTATGTTCTGTGGTGGTCAAGTGAGGCAGAACATGAACTCATTCATTATAAAAGTAGTGCTGCACAAGACCTACCAGTGAATTCTGTAGATGAGGTTGGAAATTTAGAGAGAAACAAAATGGAATAATTAAAATAATTAAAATTGTATCTTAAAAGTAGATCTAGTTGTGTCTTTATTAAAAAAAATGATCTGTTTTTGTTGTTTGGGTTTTTACCTGTGTCATTAAAGGAACAATGCTCAATAATATGTATTTTCCAGGATTTGTTTAATTATTTCCCCAGGTGACTACAAAAGTCCAGCTCCAGCAAAGTAATAATAACCAAGTTGCTTCCCCTGTGATGTACAATTTAATAGGGGATAAAACAATTTTTAGTTAGTTGCTATTAGGTAAAGTGTAATAGAACAAACTAGCAAGGTACCATGCAACAAGTAGCTGACTAATACACGCCAAGTAGATCTATATCTATTTCATCCCCACCAAAAACTTTATCCCAATAATACTAATAGGCACAGCAAACATTGCAGTACCAAAAAACGATCCATCTGATGACACTTTGACTAAAGAAGACAAATTCAGCTTAAGGAGGGTAGGCCTAGTTAAAAACTAGTTTTAAACAGATCTATTTGAAGGCATAGATGAAACTTAAAACTGTCAATGGTGTTGATTTAACATATGCATATTTTATTTACGGCTAGTAAGTTTGTGAAATTTTTTAAACAAATTGCTAGTTATATTATGCTGTAACAAAACAATGTATTTGTATTATATGCATGCTTGATTTATCATGGCGTTGGGAGATACAAATGTGTGATGTCACTATAATTCAACAAAACACCATAGCCTTTGGAGGCATCTCTCAAAGAAAGCAACCCAAATACTTTCGTTTCCTTTTTTTGTTCCCCTTGTCCCACCAGTATTGCTTGTTGCTGGTAACACCCATGCTGCCTAAGTGTAGGCTTTTATTATTAGACTATATGCCAGTGAAACATGCAACAGATTCCTGTGTGTAATATTGCCTTTGGTAGGCCACATTTCCATTTTAGGGCACTAGACTTTATGGTTCAGCATACGTAAATTGATTTAATTTGGATGATAATAAAATTTTATTAGTTTCAGGTTCGGTAAATTTTAAGTAATTGAGGGGGAAATCAACAAGTTAGTTGTTATATAGTATAGATAGTCTAGCCCATAGTTTATCAATGTTAGTCTAAGAGCTATATATCTACAGATAACCTAAATAATTGTAAAATAAGACTAGATCTAGATTCTACTAAGTATTCCCTTTGTAAAACTAAATCAACAGCATTGGGGGTAATCTATCGTTTTAGGTACGTAAAATCGGCCGAGACTAGTAATGTGAAAAAAAGATGACTCCTTAAATTTTAGTAATTATTTCACATTTCCACCCATCACCATTTTAAGGGAGGATTTATGTTTTAAAATTTGATACAAAAATACATTTATGTACCTATTTTTAAATAATTGTATTAAAACTTTTCAGTAACAAATAAACACTAGCGACATTTCATCAGATGCAACCAAGCTCATTTACTTTAGCAGCCATGTTGTTTAATTAAGTTTTTTTGGACAACATTTTTCGGGGGTGGGTGCGGACACTGTCAAAAGTATATATTTTCTATATAAATTCCATTTCGTTCTAGGGGGGGGGGGGGCGGTAGACTTTCTTCGGGCCTCCCCCCCCCCCCGAAGAGATGCCTGGAAGAAACTCTGGTCTATCTAGATCTACTAAGTAGTCTAGCATCTTACTAACTAAAGTAAGCACACTGGCACAAGCATAAACCCAAATACTCAGTTTACTGCTAATAATAGCTATGCATATCTCAACACCCACGCCCCATCGATCGATTTGAACAGATCTCTATCCCGACTAGATTGGGAAATCCTCACTGGGTTGCTAAGGAAAAGGCATTGAAAAAGTGCGCGCCTTTTAATGAAATAATATAGATCTACAAATCTAGATCTGGTTTCTAGATAATTTGTTTTGTGTAATTAACAAACTCCCGTTTTTTAGAGCATACGGAAGTATCAAAATAATTTACACTGGAGCTGGCAGTAACAAAGCTCCATCAACATACCCAATAAAAAAATCGAAAAAAAAGGAAGCAGCTACTAAACTTTAAATAAAAAATTGATAGCGCCACTTTTACACAAGTAACAAAAACACTTAGAAAAATCTAGATTCTAGATTAGAAACTCTAGATTTAGTCAGATAAATAATTTCAGTTAATAGGCCCCGACTTCAAAACCAGCTAGAATAGAATGATAGATCTAGATCTAGATCTAGATCTAGATCTAGAATCTACTTCTACTAGATTCTAGATATCTACATTAGTAGATCTAGATCTACTGGCAGCTAATCTAGATCTCTAGCTAATTCTAGATAGATCTAGATCTAGAAGATCAGAAGAACTAGATTCTAGAAATCTACTCCTTTAGAGACTTTAGTGGACCTTTACTCCTTTACACATGACTTAGAACAAAAAAATTAGAGAAAGATCTGGGCTGTCCGTGTCAAGTGAAATTTCAGTCAACATTCGAGTTAGCTAGAATCTAGATCTAGAAGCTAGAATCTAGATCTATTTTTGCCTTATTCATTATTCTGGCTAAATCTAGATCTATAGATCTAGAATCTATACACTATAGTATTCTATAGGCCTTTACTATTTATTTATTTTTATTATTAAGTATTAGTACTTGAAGTTGCATGTGATAGTAGTTCAATATATCTAAATAATAAAAATAATATTTAATTTTAAATTAAAGATCTAAATAGATCTCGAATTAATCCTTTGGCCAAATCCACATATTCAATCATAAATTAAAATTACTAATACTAACAAGTAACAATAATACAGATAACTCTTAGGATAGATAACTCTTAGTTTGGAAGATGGGGTTGAGGGGAGGGGGGGGGGGGCTGAAGTAGACCTACTGGTGGTGCCTACTTCCCATTTCTAAAATATTGCAAAGTGAAATAAAATTTTGGTTGGCACAATGTCTTGTGTGTAACAGTAGGCCAACCATGTAGATCTATGTGTGGTAGACTACCTCCATACATTTTTCATACTAGTCATTCAAAATGGGGTGTAATATTGTAGCTTTTGTAAACTTATATTTAATATTTTCACAAATAAACCAATACCCCTATTTTTCTAAAACCTGGAGTCAGAGACCTTAAAATTATCGTTCTATTCTGTATTGTTTATAATTTTTTATTCACCTTTAATGCCAAACACTGATATGAATTTAATACTATCCAATTAGATTCCATAAGCCTACCATTGTCTGGCACTGATTAGAAAAAACCTCCAAGAGCTAAGCATGAGGTCAATTTAAAAGGAAAGTTGATACAGTTTCCCTACCAGATCTGACAGTGTAGAGGGTAGATGAAGTAGAGCTCATATTTTTCTTTAGCTTCTGCATATAAAGGGATTGTGTGGTCAGCACTTTGCCAAGCAGCTTTAGTTTCTCAGACTTCTAGATGGACTCTGAGATGCCTTATGGATTAAAGGTTAAAAGCTGGAAATGGCTTTCCCTATTAGCCAGCAAGATCTTCACCCATCAACTGCACTATCCCATATATTATATCTAGGGCTATACCAACAATTAGCCTAGGGCTAGTTTTTAATTGATCAGAATTATAAATACACTACAAAAAAATCTAGGCTATTACTAATCCTTTTCTTTCAATATCATCATTTTCAAGCTTAACATACCTAAAAGAATTTAGATCTACCACTGTTCAGGTAAGTTTATCACTTAATATTTTCATTTCACATTTAGTTCACTTTGCCTTGCTCTTTTATAAAACAGACATGACTCATCCTTGCACCCCATAACACAACATCACCTTAACTAATAGTAAGCCTACATATTCAAGTTGTTCCTCACTAAAGCCCTTACACCCTCTCCCCATAATACAAAATCACCTTAACTTATAGTTATAGTAGACCTACATACTACATACTCTATTTGTTCTTCACTAAAGGTCTTACACACTCTCCCCATAATATAACACTTTAACTTACAGTAGGCCTACATACTCTATTGGTTCCTCACTAAAGGCCTTACACCCTCACCCCATAATACAACATCACCTTAACATAGTAGGCCTACATACTCTAGTTGTTCCTCCCTAAACCCCTTACACCCTCTCCCCATAATACAAGAACACCTTAATTAATAGTAGGCCTACATACTCAGTGTTCCTCACTAAAGGCCTTATACCCTCACCCCATAACACCTTAACTAATAGTAGGCCTACATACTCTAGTTGTTCCTCAGTAAAGCCCTTACACCCCCCTCCCCATAATACAACACCTGTTACATGTAGTGAGTGAAAAAAGATGTGCTACTGCTGAATTAGTTGATCCAAGCTGCCAGCTGTTTCAATCTACCTGTCTGTTAGGACATGGTCTATGTGTCTTGTAAGCTGGACTAAGCCCTACATTTGACAAGGTATTTTATGGTCAAAAGACATTTATCAATGTGCTCTTACACCCACTTCATGTGGCCTACAACACTGAGGAGTTCACTTTCTTGACTTCGTAAAAAAGAACGTTTGTTTGTGTTGTGTAGGCTATTGTGCTTTACATTGATTCAGTCGGTGGAAATATACCCATCAGGTTTATAAAGTCAGTTTTGCTTTAGATTGATTTAATGAGGCATGTAACTTAATAAGGGCTGGGTACTAACATTTAGTGTTGATACTGGGTTTTAAATTAGTTAGTCCTAGCTGATTTCTTTTATTTCTAAAACAGTAATGTGACAAAAGTTTTTAGATTTAGTTTGACATGTCGACTTTTGAAGATCTACACGGTACACACAGTAATAATTCCCAAATAATAATTCCCTTTACTATGTGTAGGTGTGTGTATAAATGTAAGAGGAGACCTCGTGTTTTGATGCTCTGCCGTTTCGTGTTTTGTGACACTGATGTTTTGTCCCACTCAAAATCTCAGTTACTGTCTTACATTTAATTAATATTTTCATGTCAATCAGTAGGCTCGTCACACCATGTAGGCCTATCATTACTATTATTTACCATTAATATGACAAACAGCATAGTAAACTACAGGGGAGAGTGGTTCTTAGTCTGCAGAATATCACGTACATTCAAAGTCAGTCTGTTTACATGTAGTCTGTATTACAGTATACACAAATAAGTCGATGACGAAGTAATGTGACCGTCAGTAAAAAAAAAACTGTTAAAACATTAACATGCTTCATGATAGGCAAATAACGTGATCATAAGCTTGATATAGGCAAGGATCGTGGCCGCGAGCGTGATGATACTATAATAATGTGACCACGAACGTGATTTTACAAGTAAGCGTGATGACAGGCAATTAAACGTGACCGCCAGCTTGACGATATTCAAAGAAAAACAACCCACCGGCTTGTCTGCCTACTGAATTGAGTTTCTTGAAACGCGTGAGTTTATTCTATAGAAATGGATATCCCCCCCCCACCCCCCACCACACACACACACACAAACAGAACAGGGCGGGCAACCTTTTCTGGGTGTGGAAAAAGACTCTATTCCACTATTACTATTAACATTTTCAGGAGCCACACACGAAGCTGAAATCTTACGTTCTGATTACGTTAAACTGTAGAGGCTCCACTTTTGTTAAGAAAAATCTTGATGCATGCTTCTTATCGTCTGTGTCTTACAGGAATTAGTGAATTGTAGTTATTGTTTTACAGAAGGTATAATTGGTTATTTGATGTAGCAAAAACTGTAATGAAAGTAACATAATTTATATGAAAGTGGTCAGTGGTTTCGCCTACTTTCATGTCAGTCAGAAGCAGTTGTCTTGATACTTAAAGTATGGATTTGTATCTGTTAGTATTGCTAGCTATTGCCATCGACAATACAGATTCATGGTTTCAGATTGTGCGGGCTGTTTCTGCTTTATTTTTGTCTATCTAACAACATTTCTAGAATTTTCGGAATCTCTCCCTTAGATGCTAGATGTGGCACAACAAATAACATGTTTCTTAGTTCAAACAATTTATACGTGAAGGTACTAAGTTAAAAGAACTAGACTTAAGGTTCAAGAATCGCTGGCGATTCTAGCAATACTAGATCGCGTTTACTCCTACATAATGTAGTTTATGCTAGTCAAACAGCGTCAGATGTAGTGTATGTGTAATGAGGACGACTTGATGAATTGAGTGTGAGGTCTACCTGTATGAGTCTGTCATTTTGATTTCCGTTCACGTCAGTACTTAGCTAGCGATGACGTCAGCACCGCCTTGTAGATCAAACACCGTCGTAACACCAGGGTTATCCCCGCATGACCGACGCGAAAGTCTCACCCAGTTCTCATCTGTCAGGGTCACCGTTGGGACGGTCCCTGAACATCTCGTTAGTGTCAAAACAATGCTGGGGGTACACCAGGGAGTGAAAACATCCGTAAATAATAAGAAACGCGGTCTCACTTTTTTCTCTCTTGTGTATGATTGTATAACCTCAGGTTCAATTTTTTTTTCGATTGATTGTATCAGATTAAAATATTCTTTTTAAAGAAATTTGTTTTTTTTACAGCATTCATAAGCGGTCTATATCTAACAAGGTTTAGCTCATGCTAGTTCATAGTTCGTGATTCTGTAATTGTGCTGCGAGCAGTCGGTGTTAGCTGTTGGTGCCAGTGTAGGCAAAGTTCACTCAGAGACATTTATAGCCCTCATTAAGGCAGGCACGGTCGTGTGCTGGATGTTGTAATCGTGAGTACACACGTTGATACTAGCCCACTCACACATCGCTATAACAACACGGGGTTTAACCCATGCAAGCACGTATACTAGGTTTTTATTTTATTCAAGCTAAATATTTTCATCATCACTTCAGTGGATTTAGTTCAAAGCGAAGGGTATTGATTTTAAGCATTGTTATGTAAATTTGATATCTTGAGTTTTGATCGGAAGTGTCATTTGTACAATACAGAGCCTAATAAATATTAGCGTTATGTCCACTTTTAAGTCTCATTACCCAGTTTTGAACGAGTTACGCTGAACATATTGTAGCGTAGGTGGATATAACTTCATATCGAGTATGTGGAGGGGGTGGCTGTAACCTCTAGAGAACCTTTCACACTTGTGATAAAGTTACAAATGTTACTCAATTAGTGTGAATTGAGAACCTTTCAAGCCTGTAATAAAGTTACAAATGTTACTCTTTTAGTGAGAATTGAGAACCTTTCAAGCCTGTAGTAAAGTTAAAACTGTTACTCGTTTAGTGAGAATTGAGAACCCTTCAAGCCTGTAATAAAGTTACAAATGTTACTCGTTTAGTGAGAATTGAGAACCCTTCAAGCCTGTAATAAAGTTACAAATGTTACTCGATTGGTTTGAATTGAGAACCTTTCAAGCCTGTAATAAAGCTACAAATGTTACTCGTTTAGTAAGAATTGAGAACCTTTCAAGCCTGTGATAAATTTACAAATGTTACTCGTTTAGTGAGAATTAAGAACCCTTCAAGCCTGTAATAAAGTTACAAATGTTACTCGTTTAATGTGAATTGAGAACCCTTCAAGCCTGTAATAAAGTTACAAATGGTACTCGATTCGTGTGACGCATATTGTTTTTCCCTTTAATGATTATCCCATGAGAAATGAAGCCACACCTTCCCACCTACCTGGCTAGTCGTGTCCGTGTTTTCTATTGATTTACACGCCAAACTTAATTTACCTTTAAATAAGAAATGACTCAAGCCTTTGGTGCAGGGCGTTTTACTATGGGCCATTAAATGTGCCACCACCTCATACCTTTTGTCTCCGCTTTTATTAATTAAAAAAAATATTACACGCCGCTTTCGGTTGTTGTTTTTTTTTTATACGTTGGCCTACACATGAAGCTCGTAATTTTAAAGCTGTAAAATGATCAATGAAAAACAATCTGATTTCATCAGTCAGCGTAGATGATTAATTAATTGGATTCAAATTATTATTTCATTCGGTGTTTTGTTTTACCGTGTTATACACGATTGCAGCAATTATGGATTAGTTTGGTCCATTTACTCCCCCCCCCCCCACACCTCTATCTTGTAAGCACGCGAGCTGATGTGGTTTTATCCATCACGTTGGTTGTTCACTGGACTTTATCCAGAGGCTAATCTTTCTTTAAGCTCAATGCCGACCTTTTCTTCTCATTGAAATGCAGGGAAATTTGATTGATTATCATTTCCCTCTTCTGTGCCCAGGACACATGGGCCGTCACTTAAAGCTTTTCTCACTTTCTGCCAGTCTCTGGCAACTTTCATGGCACCTCACAAAGATGTTCTGGCCCTTGTCAGTTGTTTTTCTGTTGAGTGCCTCTACTTCTCCCTCGGTCTTCCCTGTTTTTTCCCATTTTCCTTGAAGCGTCCAGTCCAGCGCCATTCCAATAATATCATCTGATTTCTTCCTTAGAACGTGGCACACCCGGCGCTATCTTCATTTATTTCAAATTGTTTCTGAAACATTTTCCATTTCTCCTGGTAATCTATGAATGAAGATGAGGGACATTGGCTTAAGTTTTCCTAACGTTCAAGTAAAACAAGGAAAACTACTCCCATCGCCCATCATTGCAGCATGGTTCTTCCTGCCAAATCTATCGCCACCATTTACTTTGAATGTCAGTTTATAAATCAATCATCTGTTGGCTCCCACGTATTGATGTAACAAGCCCAGTTTGTGAGCATCGAAAAGGTTAATTTAACCATGGGTTTTTGATGTGTCATTAAGAAGTCATGTATGAAGCGTAGCAGTGTTGGCTTAGTGCTGAAGGTTGAGAACCGTTGAATTGGCGAACACAGGGTAAACTAATCGTTGATTGTCGAGTACCTAGTTATTTGAACGCGCAAAATTCAGTCTTTGTTAATTCGATAGCTCCAAAGATTTTTGTCCCAGAACTCAGTGGTCCGGTTATAGTTTGTTCAGTCTTGGTTAATTCGATAGCTCCAATGATTTTTGTCCAACAACTCAGTGGTCCGGTTATACATTGTCCAGTCTTGGTTAATTCGATAGCTCCAATGATTTTTGTCCAACAACTCAGTGGTCCTGTTATAGCTTGTTCAGTCTTGGTTAATTCGATAGCTCCAATGATTTTTGTCCAACAACTGAGTGGCCCGGTTATAGCTTGTTCAGTCTTGGTTAATTCGATAGCTCCAATGATTTTTGTCCCACAAATAAGTGGTCCTGTTATAGCTTGTTCAGTCTTGGTTAATTCGATAGCTCCAATGATTTTTGTCCAACAACTCAGTGGTCCTGTTATAGCTTGTTCAGTCTTGGTTAATTCGATAGCTCCAATGATTTTTGTCCAACAAATAAGTGGTCCTGTTATAGCGTGTTCAGTCTTGGTTAATTCGATAGCTCCAATGATTTTTGTCCAACAACTGAGTGGCCCGGTTATAGCTTGTTCAGTCTTGGTTAATTCGATAGCTCCAATGATTTTTGTCCAACAACTCACGTAGGGAAAACGGTTTATGTGTTGCCACGTGACTGTTCCGGAAAAACATCACCTGTTAACTCAGCCATTTAACGTTTTCGGTATAGACTTCCTTCTCAGTAATTAGATTACATCGTAAAATGTCGGTAATGTAAAGGTATATTTGACGCAATTTTTTTTTCACACTGTAACCAAAGCTGTGACCATAATCCTGCCTTTAGTCGTGTGACTTAGAAAAAAAACAACACTCTGCGTTCTTCTTCCCACCCGATGTGAACCTGTATAAAACTGTCTCTCAAAGTTTGCTTTTAATATAATTATTAACACACATAGGCTAATTTGTAATAATGTTAAAAATATGTTTTTATATTTTTAAAAAAAATCTATTTTCTTTGCCGTTGTCGGGTTCATGACCTCTAGTACTGTTTCCTTCATCATCCGCCTACAGAAGTGTTCATTTTTAAATGGGGATAACGTGACTTGCATGCCCGCTAGGTCAAGTTTTTTAAAAACATTTGCAGTTTTGCACTGTCTTTAAAATGTATACCTTTCGTGCAGAACATATGTCTTGATTGGTGTTAAATATGTGCTAGCTTACAGACATCCACCATGATCCCCTCTCCCTCAGTCTACATGCCGGCCACCCTCCCTTTCTTTATGGATTTCTAATCTATTTACCCAGCCCTAGCCTTATTTCATTCCCGACCGATACCATTAGGAAAAAAAAGTTCGATTATCGTCTTGCTACATTTTTATAAAAACCAATCTAACATTCAAAAGGTTTCATTGATTGTCGACAGTCTGAAAATAACACAAGCATTGTATTAACAAATGATTGATTTTTAAACTGTCGCAATGAGAATTAATTCGATGGATGAGGTGATGTATTGCAACATGTGTTGTCAATAATCTGCCCTATTGTGGAAGTTTGAATTGTTTTCTTACTGGCGGGGTGTTTTAATGAGTGTATCACCAATGTATGATAATGACTTAACTCATATTCACGCCGTCGTAATGCATGAGCTACTTATTACCTACTCACGCTCGTGGTCCCGCTAGCAGTGATACGTTTACAACAGGCTGTTAACCTTGTATAAATGTAATAAATGGCCATGACTAAGCCATGACAGGGGAGGTCACCCTAGCAATCGCGACAGCTAAACTTTGATAACAGAAGCATTGCATACCGGAGCACACGTAGCATTAAATGTAGACCTATCACATTTCACACGGTGTAATGAGTTATGAAATTACCATTTCGTTTTGTTTTTTCTGCATACAAATGATTCAGTTCGTGTTTCTAAATGACTAGGTCACGTGAAAATCACAAGTATAAAATACCCCCCCCCCCCCCCCACGTCATAATGCCGCATATGAATTGTCCCTCGGCAATAACCCCGCATTCTCTTGATTATGCCCGTTAAACGTTATATACAATTCCTAAAATGGGCTGACAGAGTATGCCTATGCAAATAAGCATATTCCACCCAGAACCTTAGCTTATCCCTAATACTTTCTCTAACTCAAATGTCAATCCCTATAAGGCTTAGGGTCATAGTAATTAAGGGGGGTAATGTATTACAGTTGTTTTAGTGGGAGTGGGAGGGTGTGCTGCACCCACCCTTGAGCCATAATGTATGCTGCACCCATCATCCACCTTTGACCCATGTTTGTGTGCTCCCCACACCTGACCCGTGTTGTGTGCCACCCACAATCCTTGACCCATGTTGTGTGTCACCCACCACCATTGACCCATGATGTTTGCTGCTCCCCACCATTGACCCATGTTTGTGCTACTCCCCACCCTCCACCCTTGACCCATGTTGTGTGCTACTCCCCACCCTCCACCCTTGACCCAAGTTGTGTGCCACCACCACCATTGACCCATGATGTTTGCTGCTCCCCACCATTGACCCATGTTTGTGCTACTCCCCACCCTCCACCCTTGACCCAAGTTGTGTGCCACCACCACCATTGACCCATGATGTTTGCTGCTCCCCACCATTGACCCATGTTTGTGCTACTCCCCACCCTCCACCCTTGACCCATGTTGTGTGCTACTCCCCACCCTCCACCCTTGACCCAAGTTGTGTGCCACCACCACCATTGACCCATGTTGTGTGTCACCCACTACCCTTGACCCATGTTGTGTGCCACCACCACCACTGACCCATTTTGTGTGTCACCCACCACCCTTGACCCATGTTGTGTGCTACTCCCCACCACCACCATTGACCCATGCTGTGTGCCACCCCACCCTTGACCCATGTTGTGTGCTGCTCCCCACCATTGACCCATGTTGTGTGCTGCTCCCCACCATTGACCCATGTTGTGTGCTGCTCCCCACCATTGACCCATATTGTGTGCTGCTCCCCCCACCATTGACCCATGTTGTGTGCTGCTCCCCACCCTTGACCCATGTTGTGTGCTGCTCCCCACCATTGACCCATGTTGTGTGCTGCTCCCCGCCATTGACCCATGTTGTGTGCTGCTCCCCACCCTTGGCCCATGTTGTGTGCTGCTCCCCACCCTTGACCCATGTTGTGTGCTGCTCACCATCATTGACCCATGTTGTGTGCTGCTCCCCCCACCATTGACCCATGTTGTGTGTTACCCACAACCCCCACCATTGACCCATGTTGTGTGCTGCTCCCCACCATTGACCCATGTTGTGTGCTGCTCCCCCCACCATTGACCCATGTTGTGTGTTACCCACAACCCCCACCATTGACCCATGTTGTGTGCTGCTCCCCCCACCATTGACCCATGTTGTGTGCTGCTCCCCACCCTTGACCCATGTTGTGTGCTGCTCACCATCATTGACCCATGTTGTGTGCTGCTCCCCACCATTGACCCATGTTGTGTGCTGCTCCCCCCACCATTGACTAATGTTGTGTGTCACCCTCCACCCTTGACCCATGTTGTGTGTTACCCTCCACCCTTGACCCATGTTGTGTGTTACCCACTACCCTTGACCCATGTTGTGTGCTGCTTCCCACCCTTGACCCATGTTGTGTGTCACCCACTACCCTTGACCCATGTTGTGTGTCACCCTCCACCATTGACCCATGTTGTGTGCTGCTCCCCCCACCCTTGAGCCATGTTGTGTGCTACTCCCCCACCAGCTTTGTTTCAAGCATTTAGTCCAAATCCTGTGATCCTAGAAGCTCCTTTTACAAAAGCAATACAGTAAAAAGAGTAACAGCATATCACAAGTTGGCCAGCTCTTTTTCTCTTTAAAGTTGTCTAATGCCCAGATAACAGGACATACCTTTATCCATTGTGTTTGTCTTTACTGTGGGGTGGTGGTCCATCCTAAGTACACTAACCTTAACATCCAATTGTGTGTATGGAGGGGGGGGGGTAAATTAAGATCTGCAAATTTGATTGTTTTTTTTTGTACTATATAACTAGAAACTTTGTATCCTACACAAGTGAGAGTCCAACCTCATTGAAATGTATTGCTGTCATATTTGTATCACTGCCATGTACAATACTGCTGTACATTTGGGCTGTGTTAATGCGTTGAGAACTTGAGGCAGTTAATCTTTCTTGTCCTACACAAACACTGTCAATGTAAACTGTATGCCACATTGTCTTCTTGTTTATGTTCTCAGGCTAACATGCTTCTAGTATGAAGTCACGACCTTGCCACATATGAAGTTCCTGCCAGGTAAGCTACACAAAATTAAGCCAAATTGTGATTTGTGCTCAGAGTAGTCAGTATTGATAGTGATGTAGATTTGATACACACCTCTCCAAAACTTGTAGTGTCTTATAAATAACTGTATTTGTATATATGATTGTGTGCAGCAGAGATAAAAAATCATGATATAATGTTGTGTTTTAAAAGTTATAAATACATGCATCTATATATGTTTAGTGTTGGTGTTGTAGACACCTATATGTTAATCATTGTTTGATGATTAAATACTTGATAGGACCTACATATTTCTTTGTTATTTAGTGAAAGTTGTTTATTGTTAATGTAGAACAGGGGTCTCCAAACTTTTCAGTCCGAGGGCCGCATTACCTATCAGATTTCAGTTCGGGGGCCAGTTAGTTCCAGGCATGTCTTTGAATTTTCTGGGCAAAGTTCCTCAGCCATCACCAACAAACGATTTCTCCTTGGACAAAAAGATCTCCGTGGGCCGGATGAGAGGACTTCGCGGGCCGCATCCGGCCCGCGGGCCGTAGTTTGGAGACCCCTGATGTAGAACATTGTTAGTGCACTCATTGTATGTATTATTTTTGTAATGCTCGTTAAAATTTGATTTCCATCTGTGTACACAGAACTGTTGGAGTAGCAATCTTCCAGTATGCCTGAAAAGTTTATAAGATCAAAAGGTAAGCTTTAAATGCCTTTTCAACCCTCAAATGAAGCACTAATCTATTTGTATGAAATAGGTTCAATGGTCATTCTTTACACTTAGATTAAAAATTACCCTTTTGGACCTGGTAGAAGTAGAATTCACTAGTTTCTTTGACCTAGGCATATGGAAGGAATAGTGTGGTCAGCACTGTTCTCAGCCACCTTTACTTTTTTAACATGAGTCAGGTACTCATAGGAGTTGAGTAGACTCAAGAACATCTTATGTTCTCGAGCCCTACATCCAAACTTGATTAGGAGTTGTTCCCTCTACCATCCGACCACACCCTCCCTATGATCAAGTACTGCTCTGTATGCCATGTTGCTACAATGATACAGTTATGTGGACATTTTTTCAGCACAAACCAGGGAGGACTTTCAAAGAGTTCCTCCTCTACACAGTCAGTCGTTAGACTTGTCCTCACTGACAGAGCAGGAGGAGAGGATCATCCAGGCTGTCATACAGAAAGATGAGCTTGAACGCAGCATCCTTGATGCTAAGATCAGGTACAGATCCACTCAGCTTCTTATCTACACTGTGGGAATTATTTATTCCTATTCATTATTTTTTTGTCAATTAATTCTTTTGATTTTAAATCAAGTTAATTTGTGAACTAATTGCTATCTTTTAATAATGTGTTAAGTGTTCTAATGTCCACTTTTTCCATTTAAACAAAGTATGTAAATGAAATTTTAAACTATAAATGGAATATTTTTATTAATAGCTATTTTGATTGTTCTCAGATAATGTTGAAGTATAAGGAAAGAAATTAAAAAGATTATCATTTTTAAATAGATATTGAATGCAAGTTACTGAATTATAACATACATTTATTACTTTTTATATGTTTCTCCAACATTATAGTGAAGTGAGGAAAGAAATTCAAGAACTTCGGAAAGCAGGGGCCCTGACCTCTGGGGACAACCAAAATGCAATATGTGCCCGGTGCAAATACAAATTCCCCTCATTCATCATGCCCCTGGCTGACCACGGCCAGCGCTGTGTCAGCTGCAAGTTCAGGGTTTGCAAGAAGTGCAGCTCCAGGGAACCCAGTGGAATGTGGCTGTGTGTCTTGTGCTTAAAGTACAGGTCAGTTGGCATCTGTTGTGAAATACTAGTCTGTTGTGGTCTGTTGTGAAATACTAGTCTGTTGTGGTTTGAAGTACCGGTCAGTTGTTATCTATTATGGCTTGAAGTACTAGTCTGTGGTCATCTGTTGTGGCCTGAAGTACTGGTCTGTGGTCATCTGTTGTGGTCTGAAGTACTGGTCTGTGGTCATCTGTTGTGGTCTGAAGTACTGGTCAGTTTTCATCTGTTGTAAACATGCTCTGTGGTCATAAGTACATGTCTGTACTTTCTGATATGTAACTGTAGAAAAGCATCTCTAAAGTCCAACATCACACTGCTTAAATGATTTTAGAAATGGGAAAAATAATATGTTCTGTATATAGATCTAATAGCCTCAATTTAAATATGTAAATTTAGCATTAGTCAGCTTGGCATAAAATCAGGTTTACTGTCCTGTTTGAACCTTACAAACAAATCTAGCCTGTGTTGATATTTGTTCTAGACAAGAAAAGCTACTGACTGGAGAGTGGATGTCTAAGGGGGAGTCTATTGGCCTGCAGGGTTCTGATCTGCTCAGGGTCTCACTACGTGACAGAAGTAAGTTCTCTTTTCTTATTCTAACTTATTATGGTTACAAAATTTAATCAGCAAATCCACAAAACTTGATGAAATGCAATCCATTCTAATTAATTCTCTTTTTAATTTAATCTTTTCTAAATTAAAACACACAATCTAAAATTGTGAAATTTAATCAATCTAAGCCATTTCCTTGTTTCTCTTGTAGTCAAATTTTATTCTTTAATTAATTTGAACATGTTTAAGGCTCTTCTTTCACTGAACACAAATTATTAGTCAGCAATTTTCTACTTGTTTGCCATCCTCTAAAAAACACCACTTTCTACAACAGTTTATTATTATGTACTCGCCACTTTGTACTTTACACAGCAGGGGGATGATGTCACCAGATTGAAATTTGTTTACAAAGCACACCTATGGTGACTAAAGTTCTTTTCTCTTTTCATCCTTGTCTATGTTGTAACTGTGTATGTGTTGTGTGCCTCTATAGATGTTAACCCTGCATCTCTTGTCCAGGTTTATTTATCATTTTTTTTAAAGCAATCAATAGTTTGACTCACAATGGGTTTTTTAATGCCAAGCCTAATAGTGAAATTAATCCACTCTGGCAAAACTCCAAAACATTATGGTGTTCAATTTTATCATTTTTCTTTTTAAAGAAATTAAATGACTTAAACTTTTGACACCAGTTGCTTATTTTTTTTTACTTTGCATATACATCAAGGCTGTTTAACTAAATGTACACAATATTTTTTGCATATTTTTTATTGATTGATTTTAAATTTGTATACTCAGTTGTATCATGAAGTAAACATATTGATATTGTATTTAATATTAAATGACCGCTACTAGTAGGTACCATACTAACCTTAGCATTAGGGATGTACACAATAGGTTTTTTCTTTGAATGATTTTGAATACTTTATCTATTGTACTCAGCTTTGTCATTTATGAAAGAAACAATATTTTTTTGGAATTAAATTAATTTAGTCTATATACACATTTATTGACCTTTGCATTAGGGATGTCTTATCATTTGTGCATAATTTATGTTTTGGGTTAATACATTTACTTGAATGAATTTCCAATAAATGTTCAACAACTTATGTTGATAATTAATGTGTAAAATGAAAATCAATGATGTGCTATGTTGTCTTATTTGAGCTTTGCTAACATACTGTTGTGTTGTCTTCTGAATGAAGGGGGGGGGGGCAGAGAGAGTGGATAGCTCATTGTTTTCTTATTTGTGGTATGAGGTGAGAAGATTTTGAGGGAGATGAAATAGGGCAGTTCTGTTATCAACTAAATGTACTTTAAATTTTTTTTTTTTGCCAAATTTTAGCAATTAAAATGGTTGGGAGAATGAGATTACATAATGTTTAAACATTATTTCTTTGGACACAGTTTTAAGCCTACAACTTTACAGTTGTCTGTAATGAAAATTGTAACAAGGTTTTTTTTTAAATTTATATGATTTCCATACCACTTTTGATATATAGAATGACATTTTGGATTTTTTTTAAAGTGGGTAGGGAATTTAATTTGATTGGTTAATAGTACAAGTGGGGTAGTGAGTTATATTGGTAGGGGTCAGGTCAAAAATGTATTATTGTGTTGTATATTGTGTGCAGGATTTCTCGTGCTCAGTTAAACCCAACTTGTACATGTATGTATACTTGATCTTTTGATATGTACATTCTGTCTATACAACTTTGTGCTGCCACACAATAACATACAATGTAGCATAAAGGCTGCTAAATGTAAATAATTTACCTAGACAAGTTATATTCTTGGGTGTTGCCTGAATAAGAAATCAGCAACATATCCCTAAATCAGCAACATATCCCTAAATCAGCAACATATCCCTAAATCAGCAACATATCCCTAAATCAGCAACATATCCCTAAATAAGCAACATATCCCTAAATCAGCAACATATCCCTAAATCAGCAACATATCCCTAAATCAGCAACATATCCCTAAATCAGCAACATATCCCTAAATCAGCAACATATCCCTAAATCAGCAACATATCAAGTTGCTTGTTAGTTTTGGTTTACAGTTGGTTTATGTTTAGGTTTTATGTTACAACCAAAACTACCAGCATTATTTCTTTGGCAGTCAGCAATACAATGTCCATGGAGGCTTCATCAAATATGTGACCAATGTTAGATACAATTTGTCATTTTCTTTAATGTTCTAATTTTAGTAATAAAAGCAAAGACATTAGAGTTGTACCTCAAAGATTTTTTTACAGTGTTATTGATTTTATACTATCCAGCATAGTGTTGCATCATTTAATAAGGTTTTTGTTTTCTGTATTATTTTTTAACCAGCCTTGCTCATTTTACAATAGCCTATGCATTGTAGGTCATGCATATTGTATGTGGTATACATGCTATGTTATTGATTGTGTTTTTATTTTTTTAAGTCACCTATGTTAGTGATTGTATTTTTACTTTTAAAATTGTCTTTGGCTGTGCAAGTTGTGCCTTATCTATCAGGTATGGCCTGCTAGAGAATTTAAACTTTAACCTAATTACTTGACCTCTTTGGGTTAAGTTTAATATGTAGCATCAGATTTTCCAACTATGTTCATTCACTGTGTAGTCCGTGGCTTTAGCCTATTTTATCTTTAAAATGTTATAATATTGATATGGACATATTATAATAGACAGAATCGTACTTTTCACTGTGACTTGTAAAGAAAGTAGAAATGTTCTTTACTGGAAGCTAACATAACATTCTGGTACATTGATGATTATTTCTCGATGAGAAGGTAAAATAACTTATGGTTTTTTTAAATCATCATCTTTTAAACCAGGATCTTCATTTTGAAAATAAAAAATCTTTTTTTTTTATACTTAAACAAGTAGATACATGCTTTTAAAATATTTTTTACTAGAATACCATGTAACAGATTTTTAAAATAATGCAGTATTATTTAACATCAACTTTTCATGTGTTCCACCTTTTCATGTAAATAAAATGTGGGGTTTTTTGGGTATAGTATTTGCATCCCAGGCATATCTATTTTATTAAAACCTTTGGTTTTTAGTAATGTTTAAAACTATTTTTAGTAGGTAAACTTAAAAAAATAACGTAATACATATTGGATTTTTATAGTTGCCTACCTTTAAAGGAATATGCCTTTTTTTACAACCACTATTGATGTAGCTTAAAGGTAAAATCTATATTTTTATCTTTTGCATTTTTTAAACAGCTGCTCCTATCCAGTTGTTTATTTTTGTGACTTATTTGTATTTGAAAGTGATTCTGTAAAATTGGAAAATAACTACAGTAGTTAAAACTTGTACTAAATCAGAAAACCTAGGTGAATTTTATCTATTGCAAATTATCACTGAACATGGATTACATTGAATAAATAAGTTTCAGGGAATTTAAAAATAGCTTTACATTCACTTCCCATAACTCTTTGACCCCTACAAACAACTTGTTTGTTATAGGCTTTAAAATATATCCAAGTACTCACAATGCAAATCTCTTATATCAGATAAATCAATACAGAGAACAGGTGTGGCCTGATGATTAATATCAACACACAGATAAGGTCTTTTCTTGTTGTTAACTTCAACTTGAGTTTGGTCAATGTAACATAGTGGGCCTATACTCACCTTCTATATGAAAGCTTTATATTAGAACCACAATTTATTGATTATTTTTTTATTGCAAGATTTGTTTCTAAGAAGTTAGGCAATGGAATTAGAATTTAAAAAAAAAGAGTTTTTAAATCGTATTTTTGGGTATCTGAGATATTCATTTTGGGTAGATTTTATTTAAGATGATTCATTTTGGGTATCTAAGGGGATTCACCCAAGCTACATTACATCTTGCAAGGGAAATAATGCAGTATTTGAACAACTCATTACACAATCAACTAATTAATTTTAAATGCAGTGTACAGTTTTAGTAGCTCAGCTGTAGCAGAGATAACCGTGTGTTTTGTTTAAACTGAAAGAATGTAGAATGTTTTGATACTACACACTTGTATGGAACAAATCCTCTAGTGATAGTGAGGATAGGGTGGGGTAAAGCACTTCCCTGCTGTCACACACTGGTGACTACACACCTTAACACACCTTAGGCTGATGCTTATTCAAATACCTGTATGGGTTTTTTTTTTAATCTAGGGTATAGGATGTACTAATGTCTTCTTTCCAGCTGTAGGGTAAGGTTTACATGTGAACATGTTTTAAGTCTTTGAGAATGTCTGCTGCGTGTGTTGTTTAAAAAAAATGTAATATATTTTTTTAGCTTTTGATTGACATTTTTTATTTAAGGTTACTACTGTTTATTATTATGTATACTATTGAAGTTGTGTTATAGTTTACATTTTATGTTAAGAGGTGAGGGAAAAGAAAGAATTCAAATTAAACTGATAAGTGTGGGAATTCCCAGAAATTAGACTTCAGGTATAGGTTCAATGAAACTTGACAGCTGTAACCAAGTACATTTTGTTTATGTATTTCTTTTTCATAAAAGATACATAAAATACAGTAATAATGTAGTGAAGAGAATGGTATCTATGCTGCAGTCATATTAAACTTTATATGGTTCAAGTCACATGATCCAAAACTTCTCTGTTGCAGCCATTTCAAAGGACCAGTTGGGCCATTGTTTTCACATCATTATTGATTATGATTGTACACAGAAGGAAACCACAAGCAAATATTCCTTTCTCAACACAAAACTTTGACACATTTTTTATTAGTTCTAAGTTAATACAAACATGAAACTCTGTCTATGTAATTGTAACAATTCTTGTTTACAACTCTCATTAGTAATTGCTACACAGGACGTACACACTGTGGTGTACCATAAATCATAACATATTGTTTCTGGCCCAGCTTATCAGATAGAGCAACTTTCAATAAATCTTATATCTTTATGCAACAGGTGGTGAGTAGGTTGGGAAGGGCGTAATGATTTTTCTAGTTTTAGTCAATATTTAAATATAAAATTATAGGCTTGAAATCAAAATGTCTAATGCATTTAGGCCT